AAGGGGATTGAGGGGTATTATGATTAGTACACATGGTGTGGGGGGTCATGGGGAGAACAGTGTGGCACAGAGAAGGCACATAGTGGATCTGTGGCATCTTGCTGCACTGATGGACAGTGACTGCATCGGGGTATGTATGGGTGGGGACTTGATAATATGGGTAAATGTAGTAACCACATTGTTTTTTCATGTGAAACCTTCATAAGAGTGTATATCAATCATACCTTAATAAAAAATTTAAATAAATAAATAAATAATTTAGTGTCTTAAAAAAATAAGGACTTAAAAAAATAAACTTGATCCCATTATCACACTAAAAAAATTAATAATTCCTTGAAATCCCCTAATACTCTGCTTAAATTCAGATTTCCCTGATTATCTCATTAACACTTTTTATAGTTGGTTTGTTCCAATCAGGAGCCAAACAGGATCGACACATAGCATTTTTAATATCATCTTAAGTTTTATTCTTTTTCTCTATTTATATGCCATGACTATTTAAAGAAGCCTGGTCTTTGACTTCCAGGATTTTCCCACATTCTGGATTTATTATTTGCCTTGTCAGGATGTCATTTACAATCTCCCATTTTTCCTGTGAACTTGTAGTTGAAGCTCGAGGTTAGATGAGTCAGGAGTCACTGTAAATTTCCAGGAACTATTCCTCATTTTCTGATTGCTTCTTGCTCTTCTTGCTTAACGGTCTCAGTGTTTCCCCAAGTCTCCCTGAAGGTACTAAGTGGACTTCATTTTTCTGTACCCTACTTTATCTGTTTCCTTTGGGATCAGTTACGTTTTTCCATCTTAGCTCTTCCTTTTCATGCTTCTGGTTTTCCAAAAATGTATGAGGAATCCTTGAGAAGGTTGGTATTTAAAACCATTTTCTCTGCAATTAGACTTTGGGTTGAAATCCCGCCTCTAACAGTTATTAATTGCTTACTCGGCAGAGTCTCCGTAACCTGTCTGTGCCTCATGTCTTTATCTGTAACATAGAGGTGACGACAGTATCTGCCACAAGGGTTTGTTGAGAGGATTAAATGAGTTAATACATGTTAAGTGCTTTGAAGGGTCTTGGCATATAGTAAATAATATCTGGTGGTGGTTTGGCTGAGGGCAATCAGAGAAGAGGCTGGAGAGGTAGGGAGGGGCCAGTGCATGGAGGCCCTTGTATGCCACGGGGAGTTTGGGTCTTACTCTAAGAGCAAGTGTGGAGCTGTTGGAGGGGCTTAAGCAGTGGATTCTGATAAAGGAGGAAGCCCAGGAGTATGGGAATCCAGAAGAGGTCCCTAGCCCAGACTGGGGGATCATGTGTGTGTACTTGGTCATGTGCATGCACAGGTATGCACACATGTATGGGTCAACAGCTGGTGGCTGAGGCAGAGCCTGTTGCCCTAATCCGCAGGCTCTGGGTGAGTGTGGAGGATGCTCATATGCATACTGTCACCATCTGGCTCACGGTGCGCCCTGACATGACGGTGGCTTCCCTGAAGGATATGGTGAGTAAGGGAACTAAAGGGGGACATCAGGCCGAAAGCTTCCCATTTTTGCCCCCACCTCTCTCTACTTGGTCCTCCCTTCCCACTCTGCCTCTCTCATGTGCCCGGCCAGGTATTCTTGGACTATGGCTTCCCGCCAACCCTGCAGCAGTGGGTGATTGGTCAGCGGTTAGCACGGGACCAGGAGACCCTGCACTCCCATGGGGTGAGGCGCAATGGGGACAGCGCCTACCTCTATCTGCTCTCAGCCCGCAACACCTCACTCAACCCTCAGGAGCTGCAGCGGGAGCGGCAGCTGCGGATGCTAGAAGGTGAGGCTGTGCCCCTGAGTGACACGGGGCTTACCTGAGGTCCTAGGGCTCGGGGCAACAGAGCCCATGGGAGTCCCTGGAGGAGGGTCTTATTCATAGTGGGGCAGAGAGGACATTTCAGGAACCATTATGAGAACAGCCTGCTGGGGAAGAGATGCTGAGTTCAAACCTGGCGCTGACATTTATCTGCTCTGTGACCTTGGGCAGTTCCCTTCTCTGCTCCTCAGTTTTATGAATCTGTAAACTGGATATGATAATAATGGCTGGAATTTATTCTAATTTTTTGTTATTTATTTTGATATCTTTCAGACCTACAAAAAGGTTGCAAAATTGTGCAAAGAATTGTATAACAAATTCCCATGTACTTTTCATCTGGAGTCCCCAGAATGCTAATGTTTTACCATGTTTGCTTTGCTTTATCATTCTATATGAATTTTTATAGAAATTATTAATAGAAGTTTTATAAGTATTATACACAATTTTTTTCTGAACTGTTTTGAGGGAAGTTGCAGACATGATGACCTTCTCCCCTTAATGCTTGATTGTATTTCCTTTAAAAAAGGATCCTTTTCTTACATTAACATGTGCAACTGTCAGCTTTAGGAAATTAACATTGATCAGTACTATTTTCTAATCTACAGCTCTTAATCAGATGGTGCCCAGTGTCTGTCTCTCTGATGTCCTGTGTAGCACAGACCTGGCAGCTTTCCTCATGTCTGTCTCTTTCAATCTTTGGTCTCGATCTTCCCCTGACTCTCCTAATATTTGGAGTCCAAGCCACTTTGGTTTTTGTTTTTCTGTCCTTTGTGTCCTCATGAATGGATTCAGATCCAGTAACTGGGCAGGACCACCTCAGAAGTGTTTTTCCCACTAGGTCATCACTTCGGGAGCACAGGAGGTCGTTTTTAGGCAGCAGGGTTTTTAAGCTGGAAGACACGGGGCGTTCATTTATAGATGGAGGGGACCCTGACCCTGTGGGAGCCAGCACACTCAGCCCCGTCTGGGAGGCCTGCTATCCCCGCCAGAGACCCCTCCAGGGAGGAGGAAGGGGTGGAGAGGGCTTGTGGGGTGCGGGAGCCCAGCTAGTTCAGGGGTGGGAGCAGTTGGCCTCAGGGATCTACCAACCCCTTCTCTCCCCTCCCCAGATCTGGGCTTCAAGGATCTTGCTTTGCAGCCTCGGGGGCCCCAGGAGCCCGCAATCGCGAAGCCCGGGGCCCCCCAGGAGCCCGGACGAGGCCAGCCGGACGCCGCTCCCGAGCCCCAGCCAGTAAGCAGCCTCCGCGCCCCGGACGCGCAGCCCCGCGCCCGCACCCGCGCCGCGCTCACCGCCGTTCTGCCCCCAGGTGGGCTGGCAGTGCCCCGGCTGCACCTTCATCAACAAGCCCACTCGGCCGGGCTGCGAGATGTGCTGCCGGGCGCGGCCCGAGGCCTACCAGGTCCCTGCTTCGTACCAGCCCGACGAGGAGGAGCGCGCGCGCATGGCCGGCGAGGAGGAGGCGCTGCGCCAGTACCAGCAGGTGGGTGCGGGGCAGGCAGGGAGGCGGAGGCCGGCAGGCAGGCCCCTCTGCAGTGCCGCCCCTCACCCCAGCCCCGCTTTGCTGCCTTGCGTCTCATGACCACACTGCTGGCGGTGACCCTGCACTTGACTGTGACCCACCCTCTCTCAGACATCATCGTGTCGCTGAGACCCTACTCTGTCTGTGACCACATGCCCCACACTACGTGGGATGTTGCTCTGCCGCTAGCTTTGACTTACACACCCCTTGTGTGCGAAGTGTCCTGCCTGTGAACCCAGCACCCTACCTGTCATCTTAACCACGCCTCCGTCACACTCATCCACGGTGACCTAGTGCCTGCTTCACTCAGCCATGACCTCACTCTGGAACCTACTATTCCTGACCCCTCTCCCTCACTGGCTGCGCCCCCACCCCCACCCCCTGACTTCCTATGTCCCTGGTAGACCCACCCCAGAACGTGCCACATGCAGTGACTACACAGATAGCTAGCCTTGACTGTTCACCATTCTGATCAGATGCCCACTCCACTCCCGTCCCACACCTACATTCCCTTCTGGACCCAGTGCTGCCCTTGCCCCACCCCATCCAGGATCTCAGTCCTGGTCCCTTCTACTCCATCCTCTTTCTGTCCTTGCTCTGTGCCCTGGCTTTATCACCACCCTGCATACCCCTGACCTGCTCTGTAACCATGACCCGGCTCCCCCGTGCTCCCTGGCCCCAGCCCTGCCCTGCCACCCCTGACTTCGCTCAGACCGTGGCTCCCCTGCCTTTTGCTACCGCCTTCGCTCCCTTGTCTGTCTTGACTTCTGGATGCAGCCACAACCTGCCCCCCTGCCTGGCCCTCCAGCGCCTGGCTTTCCTCCCGCTTGCTAGGCCCAGCGCCGACCCCACTTCTCCCAGTGTCTCCCGCGCCTGCCCGCGGCCAAGCCACCCCTACCCCACCCACGGATCCGGCCTCGCCTCGGGGTTTGGGCGGCGCCCCCTGGTCCTGCCCCCTCCCTGGTCTGAGACCCGAGACCCTAACCGTCCGCGGCCCCGCCCGGTGTGCCCAGCGTCAGCAGCAGCAGCTGGAGGGGAACTACCTGCAGCATGTGCAGCTGGATCAGAGAAGCCTGGTGCTGAACACCGAGCCCACCGAGTGCCCCGTGTGCTACTCAGTGCTGGCGCCCGGCGAGGCCGTGGTGCTGCGCGAGTGTCTGCACACCTTCTGCAGGTGCGGCCCCCGCCCCGCCCCACCCCCAGCCGCAGGGCGTTGATCCCAGCCGCCGATGGTCCACGGCTGGAAGTGGGTGGGGCCCGGGCGCTTACTTCTCGTTAGACGCCCACAAAAACCAGCGAAGTAGGCGCTGTCTCTCGTTCTGCAGAGAAGGAATGTGAGGGTCTGAGTGGCCGGCAGCTTGATCAAGGCCGCGCCGCTCACGCATTCCGGCTCCGGAGCCTGTGCCCTGCGCCACTGCCTGGCCAGGCCCGAGTGGGCGCTGTGAGGCCTCAGCCCTGGCAGCCTGGGCCAGGCCCGCCTGCCGCCTCCCGCGGGCAGCCGCCCCTCCCTGAGGCTCCTCTGCAGGCCCGTCCTTGCTGGGCTGTGGAGAACATGTCCTCCACCAGGGCACAAGTGTTTAACCACCCCTTGGGAGGCCAATGTTGATCAAATAATCACTGATATAGTTGTGAATAGTGTCAACTGCTAAGTGCCAGTGGATTGTGCCGAAAGAACAGGAGGGGGTAGGGGAAGGCCCAGGGAGGAGCACTTGGGCAGAGACCAGAGGATGTGTGCTGGCCAAGTGAGGGGTCTGTGGCGGGAGCAGAGGAATGGGCAGGTATTAGGGAGGGTGACCAGGGCTCTTGTGAACTGCAGTGAGAGGTGCTGATTCTGGGCAGGACAGGATGGGAGGACTGGGCCACTGTGTTGAGAACAGACTCTAGGGGTGAGGTGGACACAGGAAACCCAGAGAGGAGGTTCTTGCCATCCTGCCAGTGAGGGGTGATGGGACCTGGAGTGGAGCAAGGGGAACAGCAGTGGGATGGACAGAAATGGAGGCCTTGATGATGGGTTGGAGGGACAGGAAGGGAAGGCAGGTACTGAGAAGAAGCCCACCTGGGGCCCGACCTTGTCATGTGAGGATAGAGTCTGAGTGTATGGGGTTCAGGTGACCCTAACCTCCACTCCTCCCCCTCCCAGGGAGTGTCTGCAGGGCACCATCCGCAACAGCCAGGAGGCAGAGGTCTCCTGCCCCTTCATTGACAACACCTACTCGTGCTCGGGCAAGCTGCTGGAGAGGGAGATCCGGGCGGTAAGGCCTGGGGGAGGGGGTCACACTGAGCTGGCAGGTGGGAACTGGCTCCAGGATGCCATTTAGCAAGAGCTTTCTCTATGTGGGATGCTGGAGGCCCAAGCAATGAACAGGACAGGAATTAGGAGAAATAGCTAGTAAGGAAACCACCTCTGTGAAAGAAAGACAGCAGAGTGGTTGAGACTGGGGGAGCTCTGGAGCCAGATGGCCTTAGTGAACTCAAGTCAGATACTCAACCTCAGTTTTCTCATCTCAGTTAGGGTCAGGTTAGAGGTGGTTTCTGTTTCAAAAGTGGTGAAGATTGTAGAGAATATGTGTAAAGAATTTAAAGTAGTGCTTTGCACATAGTAAGCCCTTGTATCAGTTAGCTTTTGCTGTATAACAAGTCAGTCCAGATTTAGTGGCTTAAAACAACCACCCTTTATTTAAACCATGAAGCTATGAGTTAGTGATTTGGGTTGGGTTCACTGGATGATTCTTCTGGTCCAGACTGGGCCTGGCTGATCTCATTTGGACTTAGCTAGTGGGTCAGCTGGCATGGACTGGTTTGTGTTAGCCTTATCTGCCATGACTGGGGTGTCTGGGCCTCTTTCCATTTTGGTGTCTCATCCAGCAGCAGTTTGGCCAGGGCCTGCTCACAGGGTGCTGGGCTCCAGGCTCCAGGAGTGGCCAGAGGATAGCCCCACCATGAGGAGTGTGCTTTCCAGGTTTCTGTCCATTTCTCACTTGCTGCTTGTTGGGCCTTTGGCCAAAGCACGTCACATGCTCAAGCCGAGTCTATGCAAGTAGGACTACCTGAGGGTGTGGAGTCAGGGAGACCTGAACAAATCAGGGCCATTGCTCTAGCTCTCTCTCACAGTGCTCAGTATTTATGTCTGCATGTTTGTGTATTTTCTCATTACTATTAATGTTACTGTTGTCAAGTTCTCTCCCTGACTATTTTCTTGAGTAAGTCCTTTCCCTTCTGTAGGCCTCCATTTCCCCATCTGTACAATGAGTGTTGGGCAAGCGATTTGTGTTTTTTAAACTGCTGGGGAATGGCTTTCCTGGCATTGGGCTTGGATTCCCATGCAACACATGGAGGCAGGGTCAAAGGTGGCTGAGGTCCAAATGGAAGACCGCCACAGGCACATACACAAGACTTTGTTCCTGCCCATCTGCCTCTCTTACAACCCTGCCTCTGAGCATCACCCAGCTTCACCAAATTTTTTCTGGGACCCAAGGTGTTCTTCCTTAGCGGAAAAAGGGGAGGCAGAAGGGATAGAACTTTGGGAACTCCCACCTCTCACAGCGAGAGCAGCCCCACTCTTACCTGTGGTCTGTGAGGTGTCAGAGAAAGGCAGCACTGGGTGGTTACTGAGGCCTTGTTGCTCTAGGCTGGAGAGCCCCAAGACATATAGTCATCCCGTAGCCCCAGCACCCATAGTCATTGCCTGGAAGTTTTTCCCTGTGAAATCCACCTCTGCTTAGGGGCCTGCCTAGCCACATGCCTGCACCACATAGAACTAGAACAGAAATCAGAGGAAAATCACCCACAACCCTGCCATTCCAGGAAATCCCGATCATATTTTTTCCTGTTTCCTTTGTTGTCTCTTGACAGAGGTGATTTTTTTTTCCTTTTAAAAAATCAACCTTAATGAGGTATATTTTGCACACAATAAAGTACGTCCATTGTTAGCTGTACAGTTTGATGAGTTTTGACAACTGTAACTCTTATAACCACTACAAGATACAGAACATAAGCTTGATTTTTACTTCATTGTAACCAGCATAGACACAAGAGTTTTTGCTACAAAATCTTTCTAAAGATTATTATTAATCTCTATGGCATATATCCTGTTTATACCTCTTCTTTTAATTGCAGTTTCTGTTTGTAAGGAATGCTTCAAGGAATATTTTGCATGGTGTCTTCCTTATATATTATTTTCTTAGGACAAACTTGTAGAAGTGGAGTGAGTCCCAGAGACTCTTAAAAGTTTGTGGTGGTTGAAACATTATTGCCACATTGCTTTCTCAAAGTGTGATGTACCAGGGTACTAGTTTAACCACATCTTCCCCAGCATTGCTTGTTATTATTTTTTTCCTATTTTTTTATTGTGGTAAAATACATATAACAAAATTTAGCATTCTAACCAGTGTATAGTTCTGTGGCATTACATACATTCACACTGTTGTGCAGCCATCACACCATCCAGCCCCAAAACTTTTAATCCACTTTTTGAATGGAGATTTTAAATGCTGAGGGAGATGGGGAGAAAAGAGCCTGGGCTGGGTTGGATTTTATGGGTTGGGGCTTCCTGGCAAGGATCTGGTGGCAAGGAGGGCCACAGAGCAGCTGTTCTGAACCCCGAGCAAGAAGGTTGTAATCTGTTGGCAGCTGCTGAGCCCCGAGGATTACCAGCGATTTCTGGACCTGGGCATCTCCATTGCTGAAAACCGCAGTGCTTTCAGCTACCACTGCAAGACCCCGGATTGCAAGGGGTGGTGCTTCTTTGAGGATGATGTCAATGAGTTCGCCTGCCCTGTGTGTTTCCATGTCAACTGCCTACTCTGCAAGGTGGGATGGGGCCTCACACTGCCTAGCTACCCTCGTCCTGCCAGGAGCTCACTGCAGTTCAGTGCTTGTTCTCCTGGGAAGACAATGCTAGCCTCGTTGTCATGACTTGGAGCAGCATGTCAGTAACAGGGCCTGGCGTGGGCCCCAAACTGAGCCTAAGCCTCAAACCAAGACATGGCCCTGGACTGAGTCCCAGCCCCAGCCCCAGACGGAACCTCAACGTAAACTGAGCCTTGGCCCAGTACTGAGCACCAGCCCTGGTCTCAGACTGAGCTTTGATCCCAGTCACAGACCAACCCCAACCCTGACCCCAGACCAGACCTGTCAACCCTTGTCCTGGACGGAGCCCTGACCCCAACCCCAGACTGAGCCCTGCTGTACCCTTACCTCAGACTGGCCCCCACCCTCATCCTTCTAGCAGTTGACAGAGACTGGGCTCAAAGTGAGCAGAGAGGCCTGAGCCTGGTTGTGGCCTAAGCAAGTTTAGTCTCAGAGCTTTGGGCCTGTAATTAGGGCAGAGCCTAACCAGGGATGGAGGAGCTGCAGCTGACAGGAGAGGTGGTTTAGGGGTTTCTGTGCCCATCAGGACATCAAGGGGTATGTGTAATTTTCATATGTGCCACCCTGACTTCACCTCCCCGGCCTCCGTGTCTTCTGTAAGTGTGTATTTGGTTTACAGAGCCAGGCCCGGTCAGGGACAGCATCCAGAGGCATTGTGTGCTTATGTGGGTGCCTGCCCTGCCCCTCACCTCTCCCAGTTTTTTAACCTGCTGGGAAGCTGTCTCACCTCGAGCCCCTCACCCCACGGCAGGCCATCCACGAGCAGATGAACTGCAAGGAGTACCAGGACGACCTGGCCCTGCGGGCGCAGAATGACGCGGCTGCCCAGCAGACAACGGAGATGCTGAGGGTGCGGCGGGGGCAGGGCTGAGGGCCCGGGAACTTGAGTTCCGGCAGCTCTGGGTTGGGGGCTTCTCAGGGCTGGTTCATGTGGTCCTGGAGGCTCTGACCTCCCTCTGGCATCACTCCCATCCAGAGGTGGGACTTAGGACAAGTGGTCAGGTGGCGAGCAGAAGGAAGATCCTCTAGGTGAAGGGAGACCACAGACACAAAGGTGTGGAGGCGGGGCACAGCCAGGCCTGGCCCAGCAGTGTAGGACGGTGGTCCCACAGCTCTGGAGGGGCGGCCGGTTTCCCTCTGGTGTGGCAGGCCCAGGGAGCTGGGCTAGGCTAGCAGCCACCTGGCCTGGCTAAAAGCCACTTCTGCTTTGCTCCAGTCAATGCTACAGCAGGGTGAGGCCATGCACTGCCCACAGTGCCAGATCGTGGTGCAGAAGAAGGACGGGTGTGACTGGATCCGCTGCACCGTCTGCCACACCGAGATCTGCTGGGTCACCAAGGGCCCACGCTGGGGCCCTGCTGTGAGTCCAGAAAGTAGAGGGCTTGGGAGTGATATGGGGAGGGTGTCCTTGTGGGCCTTGCCCAAGAGTGGAATGGAAAACTTCAGGCCATATCCAACCCACCACTTGTATTTGTATAGCTTGTGAAGTAAGGATGTTTTTACAGTTTTTTAAATGACTGAAAGTATCAAAAGAAGAGGGGAAGAAAATGTCATGACTTGTGGAAATTATATGAAGTCTAAAATTTAGTGTCCATAAATAAAGTGTAATGGGAGCCCAGCCATGCTCATTCATTTATACCATTTATGGCTGCTTTTGTGCTAAAAAGGCAGAGACCGTAAAGCCTAAAATAACTCCCTTTACAGAACAAGGTTGCCTACCCCTATTCTAAAAGGACAGTGGTTAAGGATTCAGTCTGGAGTTAGAGGTGGAGTGGGTCCCTGGCTGTGAGAACATTGGCTGTGTGATCAGGCTGTTACTACCTTCTCTGAGCCTCAGTTTCTTCATCTGTATAGTGGAGATGATAGTAGGGCCTATCTCAGGCTCGTCAGAATTGAATGAAAAAGTGCAAGAAAAATGCTGAGCAAGTACATATCACATGGAGAGTGATCCGTATAAGGTAGTTGCCATTATTAGGAGTGGGTTCCTGGAACTGGGGGCTTGTTGCCGCATGCAGAAGGACATGAGACAGATGGAGGCAGAGGGAGCTGCCCTCTTCCATGTTGCCCGTGTGCTGACCCACCCAGACACTGCTTTGGGGGTGCGATGGAGAAGTACAGGGGGACACTGTCTTCCCTGCCCTGACCTTTTCTTCTCTTCCCCCCAATCCTCCAGGGCCCAGGAGACACCAGCGGGGGCTGTCGCTGCCGGGTGAATGGGATTCCTTGCCACCCCAGCTGTCAGAACTGCCACTGAGCTGAGGATGGCCTGGTTGCCATGCTGACCGTACCCCACATACCCATCCTGCTGTGGGACAGGGCTGGTGCTTTGGCTCTGATTTCTGGACTGGGAGATACCTCCCTGCTTGGCTGAGACAGGGACCCTGCAGAGGCCAAGGCCCCGAGCTGCTTGGAGTCTTGTTTGCTGTGGGTGTTGCAGGGGCCCTGCCCGAGCTGGCTCTTTTCCATGGCTGCACCTGCCTGGGGCCCTTGGGCTTGCTGGCCAGACCTCTCAGCTCTCTGCAGCTCTCTGCTCTGCCTGGCCCAGCCTTAAACACAGCCCTGGCCAGAGGCCTTGCTGGACGGAGCCCCTGAAAGCCCCTGTGAAACCACACTCCCCTAGCCACAACCCTCAATGCTGCGCACTCACAGCCTGCCACTTCCCTGCTTTCTGGGGGTGACTTTCTCTGCCTTTGCTGTGGAAGGCCTGGGGCCTCTTAGAATTGCTGCTAATCCTATTTAGAGCCTGGAGGGAGACTGGCAGCTTCTAAAGTACAGCCCATCAGGTCCGGCTTCTGTGTCTCCCTCTTTGCTGCCTTTTAAATTAATTAAAATGGTTTTCCATGAAGGGATGAGTGTGATGTCCGTGAGAGGAAGTGAAAGGGTCATGCATGGTCTGGGACTTCATACACAGGCAGGATCCCAAGCCCTCCGGGAATGGTGACAAGAAGTTGATATATTGGCCCCCGTCAATGGTGGAATGAGTGAGCATTGGGATCCTTGCACCAGAGTTGGCCTTCCTGTGCCCACTTTGAGGGGCAGGATACTCTTTGGTCAATATTCACCTGAATAGGCCTAGTTGCAGTGTGTTGAAAAGTCCGCAAAGCAGTGTTTGTAGATCAGCCTGGATTTTAAGGGGGAAGAATGGGTCGAGGCAGCAACTACAGGCAGGCAGGAAAGTCTTGCTGTAAACTTCTGGCCTCTTAGTGAGCATCCAGGGTTGGGAAGCAGATTTTCCAGAAATTGGTGAAACTGCAATTGAAGGGTAGGACTGTCTATCCTAATTTTAACATCTCAGGAAGATGGCACAGTATTTATTTATTAGTCCCTGTTCTGTACTGGTCAGAGATTAATAAAACATGGCTCTCGGTGTCCTTTCTGTAAATTCTCACTGTATGCTCTGACCACTCTGCCCCTGTTGAGATCTGGTGCTTAAGGGCCAAGATACATCCTGAGCAGTGATATGGACCATGATCACAACAGGTGAGGGCATCTTTGCTGTTCAATCCTGGACTCCAGCCTTAGAAGTTGGGGCATGTGGTTTCATGAGGGGAGGGCTTGTTCCAGTCCCTGGAAAGACATTGACATGCTGTCCTTGGATGCCAAGGCTCCAAAGTTGTTGACCCCAGGTGCTGGAAGCAGAAGTATCAGAGAACATGAGTGCCTTCCTGCTCTGCCAGCACTGGCTCCGGCAGCTCGTAGCTGAAGGGCATGCTCCAGCACTTTCCGTGCCCTGGGAGTGAGAAAGGGTCGGGTGGAGCCACTGATTGGGAGTCAAACAGCTGAGGCTGCAGGAGTAAGATGGGGCAGAACACCTTCTCTTCCCAGCTCCTCCTTTCTCCTGCCAAGGCCTATCTTGGCATCCTTTAGGGCCAGGCACAAGAGGCCATTTTTTGGTGTAGGGGGTCCAAACTGGCAAGCTACAGGCTACCCGGTACCGCTTTAGCAATTTGTTCACCAGTAGTTTTAAATTGGGAGCTACTACATTAAAATTTAGATGCCCAGCTTCTCTTGAAAAAGTCAAAGCTTGATACCCCTGGTTCCTCATTTCCTTGTAGCAGCAACGGTTCGGAGCCACTGATGGTGGCTGCTCACCAGGGTGCTGCACACCCCTTACCACAGTCCTTGGCACCCCCAGCACTCCTCGCACAGCCTTTCCAGCACCTTTTTGCCATTCTTTTCCCAACAGCACTGAGGCAAAAATGAAGGCCTTCTTACCCATGGACCTATCCAAAGTGAGGATGGGTCAGGCTGAGGGGTCTGGGGGACGGCGTCTTTCACTTGCGCACTGTGTCTATGCCAACGCCAGCATTGGGTTTGCCTGCTGCAGTCGAATGGAGGGCTGGGAGCGCAGTGCAGGGCTGTCCTGGGTTCTAGCCTCCAAGCCTTACCATGCCAGTGGGTGAAGGGCCTGAGACAGGGAGGCTCACAAGTACTCCCTACTGTAGGGGTAAGGGAAGGTGCCCCTAACCTCCAACGGTCAGCCCTTTTCTAGGGTTGACCTGGGCAACCTAGTGTTGACTCTCCAGGGCAGACTTGAAACCAAACCCCGCAGGCGTCAGACTCAAGGCACCTACCACGGGACCCCAAATATGCTTACGTGATAGAATCTCTGCCAGAGCAGGGGAAGGCGAGAGGAAGTCCATTGCTCAGACAAAGAACAGCTTTGCTGGTGGGCAGGAAGTGGAGGATTGGCCCCACAGCCCATGCCAGAGCTAGCACATGCCTTCCTCCAGTGTCTGGGACTGGCAATGAAGTCACTCACACACAAGCAGGAAGTTGGAGGCAAGCCCACAGCCTTGCTGGCTCCCAGAGGCTGCTGGGCAAATTCCAACCATCTGTGAGTCTGGAGGAAAGACTATAAGCAAATAGCCTTTGTGAGGACAGGAAAAAGGCAGCAGGAGCCACAAGCAAACAGGACAGCAGGGCAGGGGAAAGAAGATAAAGACAGGCTGCCTCAGGCCCACCATTTCTTGGCTGGATTTAGCAAAAACCTCTGGCCTATTTCAGTCATCACTTAACCCCTGGATGAGCAAGTAGGCCAAGTGCAGGGCTGGCTAAGGTATTTTTTGATCAATAAAGTCTACCAAGATGTAATCCAAACATTTGCAGAGCCTCACAGTTTATAAGCATTTTCATAAACATTATTTCATTGAACTGTCCTTGTGGGATGAGACCATCTCTATTTCACTGTTACTGTCAATGAGTGTCAGAAACATTGTGACCTGCAGAAGTTCAGCCAGTCGAGACGTAACACACTTGCTGTCACGCCACCAGTGATTCTCTCCAAACCCGGTTTTGGTTACACTGCATCCTCACCCCCAAGTCACCTACGAGTGCCCCGACTCCCACAGCTCAAAGCTGTTGCCAGCCTGACATCCAAGTACCCTCCTGTGGGCACTGCCCACTCCATCTCTACAAAACACCCCACTTTTTATGCTGTGGTTTTACACCATCCCCCTCAACTTTGCATATTATGTTATTTTCTGACTCCACTCCAATTCTCCAACAAACTGGTCCAGCAATTCAATTCTGACAGTAACTACCCAGAGTTAGCCTCAGATCCCACAGGTGAAGGACTCAGTTCCACAACACTGCCCCACTAAAGATGCCAGCCCCAAAAGGGGCATCTAGACTCCCCATACTTCTGCCCGGACAACTACAAATTCAGGGGTTTTACAACACTCCCCCTCCCCCCAGGTCTAGTAATTGGGCTTAAGAGCTCAGGAAAACACAACTTACGTTTACTGATTTATTATAAAGGCTACAACTCAGCAACAGCCAAATCCAAGATGCACAGGGTGGGCATGGAAAGGCGTGGAGATCTCGAACTCCCCCAGGGTGCCACCTCCCAACACCTTGATGTGTTTACCAACCCAGACGCTCTCAAGGCCTCTGAATCAAGTGCAGAGCTCAATCTCTAGCCTCCTAGGTTAGGTTAGTGACCTCTAGTAGCTTGGTCTCTGTGGTGACCTGCCCCATCCTAAGGTCATCTAGTAGTCCCACCTTATGTCACCTCATTAGCACAAAAAGTGGGATCAACAGGGAATCATTATGATGAAGACCCGCCTATCTTTCTGAAAATTCCAAGGGTTTTCAGGGAACTGAGGGTAAAACCAAGTATTTCTTACGTTACCACATACCCTTCCTTCAGGATGCAATGACCAAAACTCTGCTGTTCAACTCCTATGAAACTGCTGCTCAATCTGCCTCAGCCAGACTGCTCCTTCAGTGCGCCGCTGGCTGAGCACCCAGGGGTGGCGCAGTACTCAGCTGGCCCTGCGTACTCCATGGGTGTCAGATAAAAGGCAGGGTGGGCAGCTGGGCAGCGGTGGGAACAGTCAAAGAGCTGAGTGGTGTCTACTCAGCCTTCGGCACCCTCATGTCCCCCCTCGGGGTCAGGAGATATTAATAAACATCTCAGGCAACATGGATTCTTGCCTCCATGATGAACGCAACCTCAAGGTGGAGGTGAGAGGTGAGAGGCACTTGGTTCTGCTCTGGGCTCCCACTACCCAACAGCTAGGGGTGTTAAGACATGTTTGAAAGTGTGGCCAGAACAGCTCTCTATAGCTCCTCTGTGGACGGAAACTGCATGTGGAGACAAAGTTGCACTCACATCAGGCTCTGGTTGGTTCCAAAACCTAAGCTAATGTCAGCCTTTAGAGCTGAAGGCATCCCTGAAGTGTGAGAAAGTCACACACACTCCAGACTAACATTCCCCCATTGCTTGCGCTGCTTGTGACCAGTGTGCCCCCAGGCAGTACTTGAGTGTGCAGGTCAAATTTCTTTCTTGCAGGTAAAAAAGAAACAAGTAGGACTGCAAGTATTCCCCAAGTTCTTCAGGCAAGTCACTGTCAACCAGCAGCACACAGACTACCACAGTCCCAGGGGCAGAAGGTGGGGAGCATGAAGGCCCTATGTCCAAGCCCGGAGTCCATTCCCAACAACTGCACAAGGACAGAAGGACAGAAGAGGGGATTAGTAACTACGTATGGCTGTTTATTTCAGACAGGGCTCTATACAAAATATTTACACATATTCTTTACAGAATAGTAAACCACCTGAAGGTAAAAAGTTAATGTTTTCTTCTCATTGGCAGGGAGAATCCTGATGTCAGCAAAGCTATAAAACAAATGAGCTTTCTCTTTCTTAGGCCACAACAGAAGCAAATGCCACTTGCTTCTGGGATCCAAAAAGCTGTGGCCTTGGAACCCTGGTCACATGCCCCACCTTTCCTCTTCCCCATCAATTTCTTCAGTATTTACAGACAGGCCTGATACTTGTGCAGGTGGGGCTGACGCTGCTGTCCATTCGTGAAGATGGTAAGGGGACAAGCCTGCTGTGGGAGGAGACTAGGAGTATCTGTTGCATCATCACCTCCAGATCCTGGAAGAATTTCCTTTGTCTTCACGAATCCACCACTTTCTAGATTAATCCATCCACATCACACTCACTCCAGTGGGACTCCTGTTATGAAGAATGACCCACCACTTTGAGCATTTTTGGTTTTAAAGTGCTTAATGTAATTTAGTCTAACTCAGCATAGACATCTTCCTAACTGCTCTGGGCCACTGGCTGGCTGGCACGCTAAATGACCTCTGCTCTCTGAACACAGTGGGCATGCAGGGAAGATCTGGAGATCTAGGTATGGTAAGACAGACTGCTTCTGGGATGTTCACTTTAAGAAAACACCTGCTAAGAGAGAACGGTGCTGAGAGACCAGGAAAGTAAAGTTCATGGCTGCTTCATACTCTACACCTCAATTATTTTAAGCAGCAAAAGGCACTTTTTAAAAAAGCCAGCGTTAATCTAAAACAAACCTGGCTTTTTGCTTAAAGGAAAAGCTGTCCCAGAAGGACTGAATAACCCATCTTGTTCCCCTAGGCCTGGAGAGTCCTCAGGAAGCTCAGGGCAGGGAGCTGGCTGTTCCAGGTTTCTGCCACACTCTTCAGGCTGCAGTGTGTCCCTTTCTGGGTGCTGACAAGTTTCTAATGACTTTCCAGTGACATTTTCAACCAGGAAGGAAACACCAGCAGTTGAGGAGATAAACCCCCCAAAATGAGGCCAATATAGTGAGTGGGTGCATACTTGGGAATAGTAGGGGGTATTGAGGAAAACAGGAAGGAAGGATGGCTGCACAAGTGGGCAGTTAGGAAATGTGTGGCTGTTTACAAACAGCATCTTTGAGTTAAAGTAAAATGTTAAATAATTGAGTAGAAAGCAAACTTCAGGGTCTTAGAAGCTCATCCTTTTGATAAGAACTCTTTTTTCCATGAAGGAACTATTAGTTTTAGAGTGAGGGTATTTTACATGTTAGATGTATATTATTCTAAAAATAGTAATAAAAAGTATTTTATAAGCAGTGTCATGTGGCTTATGGAAAAGAACAGAGCCAAAAAGAGGCAGGCAAAACCAGTAATGTTTGAGCCCTAAAACAACATTCCTTCCCGTTTGACTGGAAACGCCCAACTGATTTCTAGACTGAAAACAGGTAGAATTTACCTAGTAACCTAGTTCACATCTGTCTCTGACTTCTGACCACCTAATGGAGCTGCCCTTAAGAGAGGCCAATTTTGTTCCTGGGCTAGCATCACCTGTCACGCCAAGGTCTGGTTCTTCAGCAACAGCTCCTTCTTTCCTTGTCTGGCTGAAGCAGACACAACAGGACGAGCTGTGAGAAGGGCATTCCATGGTCCAGCTTCCTTACTACTGGGCAGACAAGAGGGTCCCCAGTAACCAGGCCCAGCAGGTTCCAAAGGCAGCCAGGAGCTAAAATAACCCATTTCCTCCAACACAAGAGGTGGCAATGGAAAGCCCACTCAGAAGCCCACTGAGAAGGAGAGAGCTCCAGTGCCCAGGCTCCCAAGTGCCCACTGTCAGGCAGGTTCTGCTATTAGGCCTCTGAAGCAAAGGCAAACCATGGGCAGGCAGGGAAGGGTGGCAGGAATAGAAAACCCTTGAAAGAAACCCTTTTAATAAAGGAAATTTCCACCCCTCCCAATCCTTCCACGGAAGGGTGAGACTTGATGTAATGTAGGAAGAAGTGTCTTCTCTGGCATTTAGGGAAACAGCTGCAGTTGAAACTTAGGGGCCCACTCCAGGGCACTTTTCACCACAGCCAGAGCGGCCGCTCCAAGGGCCACCGTCAGCCCCATCACTGCCAGTTTCACAAAGCGGCTGGTCCTTGGTTTGGTCAGAACATCTTTAGCTCGATCCTCAGGTCGCAGGAGTCCCCGAAACCGCTGCCGCAGCACCATATCTGGCCTCTGCTGGGCAGATGCTAGCTCAAAGTCTTTGAAGGTTGAGGCTGCCGTTCTGCAGAGGGCAAGAGGACAGAAATAAGGAAAAGGTATGACAGAAGAGAAGGAAAGAAAAACTAGACTAAATAGGCTGAGGGCAGAGGCATCTATTGCTTAGCGAGTTCTTCCTGATAAAGACCCGTGAGGATTAAAGTGGGGACTGTGCTGCATCAGTTTAGCTCTCTTGAAATATCCCCTGAGCCCTGTCCCCACCAGACACAATCTTTATCACTCTGCTCACAAACACCCCCAGAGCAATTAGTGCCTTGTCCTCACTCACTTTTCAGCTTGCTGCTGGGCAGCCGCCTCCCGAGCAAGTTCAGATGGGGGAAACTGAACAAAGAGGTCTCCTGCTCTACTGATCAATGTCTCATAGGGTAGGTCCTGAGGGATCTGGGACAACAGGTGGTGGACTGAGGCCATGTCGCAGTCACAATCGAGGACTTCCTGTTCTCGATACAATACGATCTGTGGGCAAGAAGGATTTGCATCAGAGACCAGAACATACAGGGCCTTCACCTCTTGCATTTCATACTCCTCAGAGATTAATTGAAACTGGTGACAGACAGGCTCACCCTAAATGCTCCGCAAACTTCTATGTCCACCTAGGAAGTAATAATGTACCAGTGGTTTTTCTACTGGGCTGGCCCCTCCTGGGAGAGGCAAACTCCCACCCTGTGATGTAAAAGGCGGACCAATTAAATGAAGGAGATTCTTTTAAGGGGAAGAAAAGGAGAGGGATTAGTGGGAGATTCCTGGAGCTCCAACACAGAAGACAGTAGAAAGAATTGTTCAAAACAGTAAAAAGAATGGTCTTATTCCCTTTCAAGTACAATGAAGAGCTCTTGTGAGTTCCCTACTTCATCCCTTCTAATAACTGGAGTCCCACCCCACCAAACCACCTCAATTTTCTATCCTACTATCACACCTCTTCTTTTCTTAAACCTGGAGCTGGCAGTTTGTCCTAGTTTCAGATGTCAGCATGAACCCTGATAATTCACAATGCACATGAGCACTTTAAAGGTTCAGCAGAATCACGTAGCAAACAAATCTGTTTAACTTTGTTTAACCATAACCACTTCTGAAACTTATTTTTATACACAGCAACATTTTTTTTACCACGACACTCTCATTAACACTGTACAGAAGAGTGTCCAGGGACATCAACCTGGAAAATGCTGTCTTTTCCATCCTTCCATAGTCACCAGGTTTCTCTTTAGGGAGAATGATCAAGCTGGAAGGAGTGATGGGGAACCCAGCTGCCAGCCCAAGGCCTGTACCTACCACAGCTGCAAAGTAAATGGGCATCAGTGGGTGGCAGGCCAGGAAGAAGTCGTATAACCGCACGACGTGCCTGAAGTCAGATAGGACATGTCCAAACCAGGTGATGAGCCAGCTGAGGGCAAAGATGGTCCCCACCTCGGCACTAGGAGCAAGGAGATACAGACATTAGGTTTCCTGCTGAGGCATTCTTTCCCTCTTTCTAGGCTTCTTTTGTTTTCAGTGCTGTTGAGAAGGAAGCATTTAGGAAATATACTCTTTGGAAAATTCAGCCACTCAAGAATTTAGCATCTTTTCCTCATAAAATAAAATCCATAGCATGTACTCACTATCATAACACTAATACTACAATAGGGTCCTGGTTGCTTTATCTCACTTGGTGCTTTTCTAATGGCCAACTCATGTCAACTACAGGAATAAGAAGTATTTGTCATTGAACTGTATCATGATTTTCCTTCTGAGAAGGTCCATACTCTTTTGGGGTGGGGGGTACAAGCACACATTCTCAGGCTTGAAAACACAACTGTATATATTTTTCAGTTAAAAGAGATGACTAAAAACCCAAGACAGCTATTATTTAAAAACAAACAAACAAACAAACAAATGAGGCACTGGCTAAGGATACATTTCCAACTAAACAGAAGAGAAAAAAGTCATATGAGATTTGCAAAGAATTCTTTCATCCCCTTGGTACTTGGTGGATGAAACAACCCACAGATGGCCTTGTCTTTCTTGCCTCCAGATCCTACTAAGACTTTTTGTTTATCTTGTGGCAGTAACCTCAAAGTCTTCTTCAGCAGATTTACTTTATTTGCCTCTCCTCACTACATGTAAACTCCTCAAGGCCATGAGCTGTAACATCTTTTGTATCTCCAAAAGAGCACAGACCCAAAAAGTGCTCCAAGACTGTGCACAGAACTGAATAATCCACTGGTAACTAGAAAAGGACAACTCGGAAGGACTTAACAATAGTCAATTTAAGATGATGAAACAGAGCTAGACTTATGAGGAAGAAACAAAGGGTAGGAGAGAGTTTAAGGTGTGTGTGTGTGCACATAAATGTAGACACATATGTACCTCTGCATGAAGTCATGGAGCTCTGGATTCACCTGGTCAATGATGGGCATTAGATAGTTTAATATATGTTTGGTGTTGTCCATTGTTGGATCCATGAAATCCCTAGGAGGAGACAATTCAGTGAGCTTGCTCAGACCAAACAGTTAGATCAGGGGTGGGAGGGCAGAATGGGTGGGGCTCAAACCTTTGAAAACACAGACTAGAGAAGGGCTGAGGAGTCATCCCCTGGGGACCTTGAGGAGTGATACCCATTCTCCTACATTCGTTTGCACTGGCACCTGAGGTGGTGGGTAGACAGTTTTTCTACCAGGGATGTTGACAGTTCCTCGCCTACCACCAGCAGAAATGTGACCACGATGTCATGATAGCCCTGGTAGTAGTGCAGCTGAGGGTTACGCTCCAAGATGAGGAGGATGATGTCGATCAGTTCTTCCTGGAGCCCTTCCCTCTGCTCCTCTGGCATGCCTAGGAGGGAAGAGGGGGAGACACACCTGAGCACAGCAAGTAGCCTAGTAACAGGATGTGAGGAAGATGGTCAGCAATGTATTTTCAGAGAAAGTGTTTAGTAATTTGTAATAAATGGAAATGAATTACAACCAATTTGGCAACACATACCAAGAGCCACATAACACCGGTACTCCTTAGCATATAGGAAAGAGCCACAGGCTAGCAAGCTCACAGTGGGTACCTGCAGACACCATCTTAATGGGGCACCACAGTCCACACTGTGCTGTTCAACAGCAGGTGCCTCCAGGTGTGATGCATTGAAAAGGACTTGGCATCACTTTGTGGAATTCCTTCCAGAAGCACTTAAACCCCAATCTAACAATGAAGAAATACCAGAGAAACCCTAATCAAGGCAAATTAAAAAAAAATAACTGGGTTGTAATATACAAAGGAACCATTTCAGATTAAAGGAGGCTAAAGAGATAGGAGGACTAAATGGGAAATGCATGGCTGTATTTCCTTTTCCCATAAAGAACATTACTGAGATAAGTGGTGAAATCTCCGTAAAATCTATAGATAACAGTATTTTTCAGTGTTGTTACTGAATTTGGTAAGTATACTATGATTATGCAAGAGCCTTATTTTTAGGACTACACCCTGAAATGTTTAGAGATAAAGGGGCACCATGTCTGATTTATTCTTAAATAGTGAAGAAAACAATTTATGTGTGTGTTTATGAAGGAGAAAAAGCAATTCTATAGCAACTATAGTCAAATATTAACATATAAGGAAATCTAGGTTAGTAATGGGTATCTAGGCAATCCTTTATCCTATTTTTGCAATTTTTCTATATGTATGAAATTATATAAAAACAAAAAATTTAAGAGTTGTATGTTCCCCTCTAAACCAAACTATGTATCACAGGAAGTACAGATCAACTTGATCCAATTTTGCAGCTGGCAATCAGCAGCCTGTCTCAGGAGCTGTCAGAGTGCACAGCCAGGCCCAGTCATGGTCAGTGAGGCTTCTCAGCTCATCTGGATGGGGCTCAAACCTTTGAAAACACAGACTAGAGAAGGGCTGAGGAGTCATCCCCTGGGGACCTTGAGGAGTGATACCCATTCTCCTACATTCGTTTGCACTGGCACCTGAGGTGGTGGGTAGACAGTTTTTCTACCAGGGATGTTGACAGTTCCTCGCCTACCACCAGCAGAAATGTGACCACGATGTCATGATAGCCCTGGTAGTAGTGCAGCTGAGGGTTACGCTCCAAGATGAGGAGGATGATGTCGATCAGTTCTTCCTGGAGCCCTTCCCTCTGCTCCTCTGGCATGCCTAGGAGGGAAGAGGGGGAGACACACCTGAGCACAGCAAGTAGCCTAGTAACAGGATGTGAGGAAGATGGTCAGCAATGTATTTTCAGAGAAAGTGTTTAGTAATTTGTAATAAATGGAAATGAATTACAACCAATTTGGCAACACATACCAAGAGCCACATAACACCGGTACTCCTTAGCATATAGGAAAGAGCCACAGGCTAGCAAGCTCACAGTGGGTACCTGCAGACACCATCTTAATGGGGCACCACAGTCCACACTGTGCTGTTCAACAGCAGGTGCCTCCAGGTGTGATGCATTGAAAAGGACTTGGCATCACTTTGTGGAATTCCTTCCAGAAGCACTTAAACCCCAATCTAACAATGAAGAAATACCAGAGAAACCCTAATCAAGGCAAATTAAAAAAAAATAACTGGGTTGTAATATACAAAGGAACCATTTCAGATTAAAGGAGGCTAAAGAGATAGGAGGACTAAATGGGAAATGCATGGCTGTATTTCCTTTTCCCATAAAGAACATTACTGAGATAAGTGGTGAAATCTCCGTAAAATCTATAGATAACAGTATTTTTCAGTGTTGTTACTGAATTTGGTAAGTATACTATGATTATGCAAGAGCCTTATTTTTAGGACTACACCCTGAAATGTTTAGAGATAAAGGGGCACCATGTCTGATTTATTCTTAAATAGTGAAGAAAACAATTTATGTGTGTGTTTATGAAGGAGGGAGAAAAAGCAATTCTATAGCAACTATAGTCAAATATTAACATATAAGGAAATCTAGGTTAGTAATGGGTATCTAGGCAATCCTTTATCCTATTTTTGCAATTTTTCTATATGTATGAAATTATATAAAAACAAAAAATTTAAGAGTTGTATGTTCCCCTCTAAACCAAACTATGTATCACAGGAAGTACAGATCAACTTGATCCAATTTTGCAGCTGGCAATCAGCAGCCTGTCTCAGGAGCTGTCAGAGTGCACAGCCAGGCCCAGTCATGGTCAGTGAGGCTTCTCAGCTCATCTGGCTTAGAGTCTGAAATGACAAACCTTGGCCATAGGAATTAACTATTTCAGAAGAAAGCATATGGCACAGCTTTCCTACACTGGTAGCCTTTCCAGTTAAAAACAGACAGACACTGAGATAAAACAGCTGATGTAAGCACATAGAATAAATTGAACAAAGGGTGGAAGAGAAATAAAATTCATTTCATCTTTTGCTCATATTCACCTGATGCCTTCTCAAAAAGTCATACTCTAAAACATAAAATAAAAAAGAAAATGGAATAAATCAAGTACCATGGATAGTTAAGTAATGAAAACAGTGAGAGGAAAAAAACTAAATTTTGCTTGAATTTTCTGTATAAGAGGGTCAGCTAAGCTCAGAAGAACATGGATGTAAAAAGAATATGAAACCACATGCGAAGTTCAACTATAGAAAGAATACCACAGGCTGCTGTTACATATATGGAAGAGGAATAAAGAATTCAGAGGGAAACAAGTTACCTAAGCAAAAAAAGGGATGCATCTGCCTCTGGTCTTATCCAAACCAGCCGGAGAGGAAAAGGGGACGGGACTAGGAGTAGATGTTTTTATCAAAACCTAGTTGGCAGGCTACTGGCTACACAGGAATCACAACAGCCTCCCCAGGGAACAAGGGAGCAAGCAGGAGAAAGGCCTTGTAACAGAGAGAGCCAGGCCAGAGCATGGTTTCGGAAGAGTGAAGCAATGGGTTCAGAGACTTTTGTTCCCTTTGGCAATTCTCTTCATGGCCTGAAGATGAGGTTTGCCAAAGGAAGAGAACTAGATCACAATACAGGGTTCACTGCTGCATTTCCTTCATTGTAAAAAAGAAGAAAATGATAAGTAATTCTCATTCTTCCTGGGACGGGAAGGCAATTTTACAAATGAACCATTTAAACATGCAGGGAATGGCCTACATGTTTAGTCCAAGGGACCCAACATATATCTGCAAGTTATCATTATTTATAAATCTAGTCAAATGAAGACACTAATAGTCCTTATTAGTGCCCACTTCTGAACCAATCTGCTCTTTAGAGCCAGACTGATGACTCTAGCAATCCCTAGAAAGTCTCTTCTGTGGCTCTGAAATTGAGTTAAAAAAAAAATTGCTCTTCTCTCATCCACCACCTCTAGGTCAAAAAAAATTGTTTTTGGCTTGGCTTTCACAGTGGGGGCCTGAGCACAACAGAATGACTGAATGAATGACTCAACAAACAAAGGGCTCCTGAGGAGGCAGGGTCCCACACAGTAGGTCACACTCTGTGCTGGGATGGACACTCCCTGGGACTGGCAAGCAGAAGCACAAGAACGTAAGTGAACCAGGACAGAAACCCCCATGCAGCAAGACCGAGGGCTTCTCACCAGGAGGGAAGCGCCGTAAAGACCGCCTGACGTCCAGCAGCACTTGCTGGTAGTCTTTGCTCATCTGTCGTAGGTTCTTCCCTGTTGAAGGAAATGGAACATGTTACTGCAGGAATGTCTGGGAAGCCTGATAGGAGCAAAACGTTCTGGTATGACACCAAATGCCTGAAGGACATACTTCAGCTTTTTCCTGAAGAGGACATAACTCAAGATATAATGTTTGGAGAGGAATCCCTACTTTAGTTCCAAACATGCTGTTTCATGTGAGTCATAACAACTGTACTAGGAGGGAACACAGATTGTCCAGCAGACGAATGAGGTAGCAAGAGCAGCAGAGAAGAAGTCAGGAGGCCAGGGGCCTGATGTAGGCTGCCACTGTGCATCACTGGGGAACTGCTCTGAATTTCAAGGCCCACCTCTGTAAAATGGGGACATTCCCTTCCATATGGACTTCTGAGATTACTATAAGGATCAAATGAGATCATGAATGTGGAAACCACAGACCACTGGAAAAACTCTAATATCTGTAAAGTCTAGGGAGCACTGAGCTGTTCAGAAAGGATTAAGATAAACTCAGATAAAAATGAGCCTAACTTCTCTTGGCCCTGAAATTCTAAAACTAAGACATGGCAAATAGGAGACAGTATTTGCATTCAGTTTTTAAGTCCAATACAGTATGAAAGTAAGGAGGTAGTCTCTAGCTTTTATATGTATAAAGCAAGTGTACATTTCCTTCACAACTTAAATCAAAAGCTACCAGAAGAACCTGAGCAATATTCCCCACACACAGATGTTATCTTATAAAAATAAGGTAAATTAGGAACATGATAAATGATCATCTCAGGATTTAGTGAATATGGCAATGCCTTTTTTTTCAACAAAAAGCTCACTGCTGGGGCATACAGTCCAAAGACACTAACAAGTGGCAACTAATCCCTACTCAGCTGCACCGTGACACTGTGAACTTTTTATACATAGAGGCTGTTTTAATCACTTCTAGTTTCTGGCCCACACAGAAGTACAAATAAATTCCAAATTAATGAAAGAGTCCCCAGTACCTGGACTTTTTGCCATACATAGCAGGAGAGCTGTAAATGCTCACTGCATGAATGAACGACAAAGTAGATTTATTGTTCTGTGGTACTTTTGTATTTTCTAGTATATTCCAAGCCTTTACTATATGGGCCTTGTAAGTTAGTTAACTAACAGCTTTTCACAGAATTATAGAATTTAAGAATTCAAAGGGATTTTAGTATTTCCCAATAAAAAGGTTTGTTTTGCTTTGTTTTAAGGGCCAGAGAGGTATTCTCTCTCCCCATAGCTTACTGTTTCTCAGATTGTACTTCATCTATATCAGAATTAGCTGGGGTGCTTATTAAAATACAGATTCCTACAACCCACTTCTAAGTGAACAGACTGGAATATGCATTTTTAATAAACTTCCCTACCTAATAAGAGCTCATTCCATTTTTTGAATAAAATTCTACTTATCAGTTTGGCCTATTTTCAGAGTGGGCCCAAGCATATCCTAAAACTCATCTCTCTTGGCTTAAAATGAGCATAAAAATAAAAGATCCTGGAACTAATTGTTCCTTGTGTCACAGTTCCTGGCACAACATCCTGGCTGCCCTTTACCTGATGTTGGGGTTGGATCGGTGGTGTTGATGTTGAGGAGCTTGGGCCATACTTTTCGCCTGATCTCATCAGTGAGGAGTCCTCCTTCACTGATAGCCATGCGCCTGAGGGCAGCCACATCAGCGGGATCACTGTTCAGAGCCTGATATATCTCTAACACTTTCTTTTTCTTTTTGACATTATAGTCTGCAAAAAGGGAGGAAAAGGGAGAAAGGGGGGAAAAATTGGACACATATTCAGCATGTATACATTTTCTGTCAGGGTTCAATCTTGGTTTGAGGTACAGGTAGATTTTTAAAGTCAACCTACAGATATTTAATTAGCACATAATATGCAAAACACTAAGGAGATATACCATATAAGTAATAAGCAAGGTATTACAATTATAATAAATGCTCAGTAAATTCAGGCATATCTACCAGTTACTATTAATGGTTTCCTAATAGAATGCTTCTTCTTTCTTAATTCCAAACTGCATAGAGCATCCCATCTCTTTATATAATTTTTGCCTGTTGTTCAGAGGAAAAATTTATAAGTATGTCACCAAAATTAAATACCATGTTTTTAAACAAAATGTGGGAATAGTCTCCAGTTATGTGGTAATACAACTGGTAAAATATCAGGACCACATAGAGCTATTTTCAAAAGCAGAATGTCAAAGGGTATACAGCTGGGTCTCCAGCATGACTGGTGGTAAGAGAGACATGATATTACACACAAAGCAACTGTTTCTTAGCAACCATATTAATTACTAGAGATCAGTAAATAATGTTTTCAGTTTCTTACATCCTTATGTGATAGTTTATACACAGCCATTTTGCTGTGTTTAAATTACTTTTGAGGGAACTGGTTGAGAGCTGTGGTTGATGTGTATCATATTATAATTTTTCTATTTAATATAATGGGGTAGAAGGCTTTCAGTTTTTAAGCAGAATGTCTAATTTTAAGAATAGCAAACACAAGAAAAGTGAAGCAAAACAATGCCAAAGAGATGTCACAAAGCCAAAAAGGGTATTTGAAGACACCAGGAGCTCAGAGACTTCTGTGGGTCAGGCTAACCTGGGAAGGCATTAATGAAGACTGTAATTTAAAAAGGAAGTGGGAGGATTTTCAGAGTCTGGGAGGTGGGGTAGGAAACAGGAGAAAGGCCTGGAGACAGGAAACAGAGGCCCTTTCATTTAACAGTAAACAGACTCAAAATATTTATGTAGCATATAATAGGTGCAAGGCACTAGAGTTAATGTAAAGTGGAAGGTAACACTGGAAGGTAGATTAGGCTTTAGAATGGACACTAAGCAGCCTTCCTCAGGAATGTTCTATTCCGAGACAACAGTCTACAGATTGGTTCATACAAAGCTGCACATTACTGACAAATGAAAGTTGATCCAAATGCTGCTGCTCACCTGCCTATGAGAGCTGTGACACATAAATGGTATAAACAGAGGCACCACTGGTTTGGAGTCACATTCAATTGGAGGTGCAGACAGGAAAATCACACAGGTGACTTCTCACCCATGTAAACCTGTTCTCCTGGCTAGACTATTATTTTCCCTGGTAGCCTAGTAGGGTGAGAGATTCCTGGTTTATGCCTAAAGTCCTGGCATAATTGTCCATAGCAAACACTTCCTGCTATCTGCCAAAAATGTCCTGGTTTGGATGCTAAATTTAATGGTTATTCTACCTAGAAATCATGAAAAATCAACTCCCAGTTCTCTGTGGCAAAGCACCTAACTACTCAAATGTTTGTTTACAAGGTGTTTCAAGCTCTTGGCTTCAGTGTGTCCTTCCATCCATCTATTCATCTACCTATCCATTCATTTATCAGTCCATCATTATTTAATGAGCATCTGCTTGTAGTAAGTATTGTACTGGGGTCAAAAAGAGGAATATGACTTCCTCCTGGCCCTTGAGAGGTTCATAGTAGGGAGGGACACAAACAATTATTATATATAACAAAACCATGAAGAATTATGGAACTCCAGAGGAAAGAAGGGCTACTGAGGCAGTCAGGAAAGGCTTAGCCAAGAATATATTCTGGTACCTTCTTTAAAAAGCTTTATACATAGAAGAACGTGTTGAAGGGAGAGCATTCTAGGCAGAGGAAAGAAATGTGCAAAGACTTTGTCACATGAAAGAAACATCATGTCCAGAAAACACAGAAATTCTGCAAGGCTGAAGTGTTAGGTACAGGGAGAGAAGAGGAGCTGGAAGAATGCAGTACATACAGCTAAGAGAAGAGTCTGGGCTGGATTTACCCTGCTAAGGGGTCTGGATTTTACCTTGCATTTGAGGGGAAGCCAAGGAAGGAATTTTACTTTGGGTTGAAGGGACCGTCCTTTAGAAGAGAAGGCTACATGTTTTCCAAGAGGGACTGTAGACATGCAGAAAATAGAGAAGATTTTATATAACAACATGGGCTAAGACAAAATATGAGAAGGAATTGGATTAATTACCAACAAAGAAAAAAAAGTACCAGACGTTTGTTTTACTTAAGAGTGCCCTTGTACTTTCAACATATCACAAATTAAAAACACTTAGATGGTAATACTGACTATTGAAGTAAGCTGACATGTAGAAATCTTGTTAACCTACTTGCTAAGAGTGAAAAAATTTCCTCTATTTGTTTAGACATATATCCACCCTACCACTCTTTCCAAGTATGCTATTTAGCAATATGGGGGAAAGGAAAACTGTTGCTTTTATCTTGGGGAAAATAACACTGCTTGCAATCAGTTGGATTTCCTTTTTTTTAAAAATTAAACAGTTACCTATATTATTAAATCCTCACCCCTTCTAATGCAGACACCATCAACTTAGTAGTACATTACAGAATCATTAACTGTATTCTCCATGCTATAATACCGTCCCCATGACCAACTTATATAGTGATTGTGAATTATTGTACCCTTTTAACCTTCCATCCCAACACCCCCAAACTCCTCCCCCTTGGTAACTATTAGTCCCTTCTTGGTGTCTATGAATCTACTGCTAATTTGTTTCTTCTGTTTTATTTGGTTTTTATATTCCACAAATAAGTGAAATCAATTGGTATTTGTCTTTCTCTGCCTGGCTTATTCCACTGGGCATAATACCCTCTAGATCCATTCATGTTGTTGCAAATAGGAGGATGTTTTCTTTTTTTGGCTGAATAGTATTCCATTTGTATATATGTACCACATCTTCCTTATCCATTCATCTATTGATGGATACTTAGGTTGCTTCCGTATCTTGGCTATTGCAAACAGTGCAGTGATAAACATAGGGGTGCATATGTCTTTTCAAGAAATCAGGGACTTTTTGTTTTCTCTGGGTAAATTCCTAGGAGTAGAATTGCTAGGTCAAATGGTATTTATATTTTTAGTTTTTTGAGGAACCTCCATATTGTTTTCCACAGTGGTTGCACCAATTTACATTCCCACCAACAGTGTAGGAAGTTTCCCATTTCTCTGCATCCTCACCAGCATTTGTTATTTCTTCTCTTTTGGAGAGTGGCCATCCTAACTGGTGTGAGGTGATCTCACTGTGGTTGTAATCTGCATTTCTCTGATAATTAGCAATGTGGAGTATCTTTCCATGTGTCTGTTGGCCATTTGTATTTCTTCTTTGGAGAAGCGTCTGTTCAGGTCCTCTGCCCGTTTTTTAATTGGGTTGTGTTTTGAGTGTTGAGGAATATGAGTTCTTTATATATTTTGGATGTTAACCTCTTATCAGAGGGGTCACTTATGAATATATTCTCCCAAACTGTAGGGTGCCTTTTTGTTCTGCTGATGTTGTAACTTTGCTGTACAGAAGCTTTTTAGTTCAATGTAGTTCCATCTGTTAATTTTTTATTTTGTTTCCTTTGTTTGAGATGTGTCCAGGAAAAAGTTGCTTAGGCTTATATTCAACAGATTTTTGCCTATGTTTTCTTCTAAGAGTTTTATGGTTTCATGACTTACATTCAGGTCTTTGATCCATTTTGCGTTTACTTCTGTGTATGGAGTTATAGACAATAACCCAGTTTCATTCTCTTAAATGTAGCTGTTCAGTTTTCCAATACCAGTTGTTGAAGAGGCTGTCTTTTCCCCATTGTATATCCATGGCTTCTTTATCATATATTAATTGACTATATATGTGTGGGTTTTTGTCAGGGTTCTCTATTCTGTTCCATTGATTTATGGGTCTGCTCTTGTGCCAGCACCAAATTGTTTTGATTACTGTGGCTTTGTAGTAGAGCTTGAAGTCAGGAAGCATAATCCCCTTAGCTTTGTTCTTTCTTGGGACTGCTTTGGCTATTCAGGGTCTTTTGTGGTTGCATATGAGTTTTATAACTACTTGTTCTAGTTCACTAAAGAATGCTGTTGGTATTTTCATAGGGATTGCATTGAATCTGTAAATTGGTTTCGGCAGGATGGCCATTTTGACAATATTAATTCTTCCTATCCATGATCACAGGATAGATTTCCATTTATTGGTATCTTCTTTAATTTCTTCCATGAGTATCTTATAGTTTTCAGAGTAAGAGTCTTTCACCTCCTTGGTTAGGTTTATTCCTTAGGTATTTTATTCTTTTTGATGCAATTATAAATTGAGTTGTTTTCCTGATTTCTTTTTCTGCTAGTTTGTTGTTAGTATATAGAAATGTGACAGATCTCTGTGTATTAATTTTATATCCTGCAACTCTGCTGAATTCAGTTATTAATTAGTTCTAATAATTTTTTGGTAGAGTCTTCAGGGCTTTCTACATATAATATCCTATCATCTGCAAATAGTGATAGTTTAACTTCTTCCTTACTAATTTGGATGCCTTTCATCTCTTTGTGTTGTCTGACTGACTGCCATGGCTAGAACTTCCAGTACTATGTTGTCCATTTGGTTTTGACAAATAATCATCCAGAATCTTAAGTATTTCTGAACCCAAAACCATAGCTCCAATACTTATTTCTCTTTTGATTCTATTTTTAATCCTACATTTCAAAATTTACTATCTTCTCATTTTTGTACTCTGTGGGAATTCAGTATGTATGTACAGAATAAACAGTTTAGGCCAGCTGTTTCTCCTCTGGAAAAATTGGTCTGTAGTAAAATGGTATTTTCCCCAAGCTACTGTTAAGAACAGGCTCACTGCATAACTCTAAATAGATTTGTAGACTCTTTGGCCTTTTTCTAAAGCTACTGGTACTTCCCAGAGTAGCATGCTGCTCAAATGTGGATTTTAGCTGCTGTCCTTTCAGGCTCCAATATCAATCCCATATTCTAGTGACTAAATGTTAATGGCAGATTAGGAAGGTTCTCCTATGTGTGCTACCCACCTGCCCCAAATATTTACTGCATTTAATATATAGGCTTTCATTGTGATGTAAAAAGGGAGGAGAAAACAAAACAAGGGAGCTAGAGATGTATAAATTACAGAGTGATAAGGCCATACGTTAGACTAGACAATGAGGGAGAAAAGGTTAAAAGAGTCTCACTGAACAACTGACTCACATATCTTCTTCATCTAAGAAAGAAAAAAATCATAGAGCTACTTTGGGATGCTCAGAAAAAAATTAAAATTATTATCTACTACCTGTTTTACAGTAAGTTTTATATATGGGTTTTGGGGTGGGACACATTTCTGGACTTGAGAATGCTGTATCTGGGTTCAGGATTAAAGTCCACATTTCATCTGGAGGTAGCATACAGGTAATCAAAATCCCCATGATTTCTTTCCTCTCTAATTTCTTTTTGCCTCACTTGTAAGAGAGATGTATTATATATTCCAAAGCTGATACCTTCCAAATTCCTTGATAGCAGAGGTCTTGATCATAATCCTGCCAGAATGAAACAACTATCCTACAGCTGGATGCAAAATATGATACTGCTATGAATAAACCCCAGATGCCTAAAAAGTAATTCATTCAAGAAAAGAAAAAGAAATGACATGGGTACTACTTGGCCTGCTCTACATTAAAATGATCACTTTAATTTTAATAAGGGATACTGAAGTAGTAGTTCTTTACAGTTCAGATAAAAAAGGCTGACCCCATTACTGTCTCAAACGTCTCCCAACTCTGCCTACAGAATCCAGGTAAAGATTTGTGCCGCCTCAGAGTAACAGGTATCTCCAAAACATGATATATAGGGAAAGGACAATGAGTAAACGTGACTACTAGCTATGCTATCTCTAGAAGTTTATTCAAATCAACAAAACACAGATTAGTGACTTGGATCAAGTAAATGGTCTACACACTTAATAATGGAATCTTATGTGAGAATACAAAATTCCATACTGATTATTTGGTTTAAGTTTATCAAGAAAGCTTTACAGATTTTAACATAAGCTAAACTAAGCAACACTAGCTTTACAACAATGGAAGACCCAGTCAGAGGGGGAGAGATCCCTCCAGACACACCCCGTCCTCCATCCCTTGAACTCCTGATGTTAACATTGAAAATTAACTTTAAACTTTATGTTTCAACTTTGTATTTGTTTGTACTAGAGAAAAACAGTGGGAGAGGAAAAGTCTTATCTTATTGAGTAAGGTTCCTATTTATAAAAAAACAAAGTAGCCTATGTTTTTGGAGGTCCTAATTAGTTTCAATAAACAGTACTCAAATTAGCAGATATTCATTAACTACCAGAAACATAAAGAAAAGGACTGCTAAGAAAGATTGCTTTATGCCACCAATGGAGAAAAATATTCTCAAGAGTAAACCAATCTGATCATAAACTCCACAAGAGAGGGCTTCTAGTATTAGTAACTTTGCCAAAAATACTCCAATATGATTAAAAACAAAATGAAAAGGAAATAGGAAAAACAACCAATCCCCTCCCCTTTCATCCAGAGAAGCACCAATCAAGGTAACTGAGGGGTGGGGGGTAAAATCTCTCAACCTAGGCACAGTTGCACTACAACAGGTCACAAGACTCATATTACTTGGGGCACTATTAATGCCATGAGGACAGATGTCATACAAACACCAGCAAAGACTTACAAGGCCAAAGGGCCCAGAGAAGTAATATGAGGAGCGAGCTCCACTTCCACCCAGGATTAGAAGAGGAGAAAAGGGGGATAAGGGAAAATGAGCTCAGAGAAACAAGATGTGGATACCAGGTGCTTCATCTAAATATGTGGGTTGAATATGTGGTTGGTTTTATTATGGGCATCACCCATCAAAGCATGGAAAAGCGGGAAAGCTACCTGAGTCTTCCCCAGGGGTAAAAAGAGTATTTTACTTTGTACAGGGTAAACATTAATAACTTTAACTGTCATGGATTAACTGTAAGACATATTCAAATACATACTGTGCAACAAAACCACGATTTCATAGAAATTACTGTTTAGTACTAAACTATAAAAAATAGAGTCACTTTCAACACAACTAAATAACATTAAACTAGGTGGCACAAGATTGCGACGGAAAGTAGATTAGTGATTACCATGAGGTGTGGAGACTGGGGAATAGGGAGTGCTGGACTCCTTTTGGAATCAGAAATATTCTGGAATTAGACAGTGGCTATGGTTGCACAAGCTTGTGAATGTGCTAAGAACCACTGACCTGGCGCTATAAAAAGCTGGATTTTATGGTAATTAAAAGAAACCGGTGGTACACATACACCGCGTCGATCAAAACCGCGACAGATAAATGAAGTTTGAGAAATCTGCCTTACAAATAGGGAGTAGGCACCAGGAGTCTGCGGACGTGGCCGGACAGTCTCAGGCGGGGATAAGGCTCGGCCTCAGCTCTCTGGGGGCCCCAATTCTCTCCAGAGGTGACGAAGCCGGACGCGGATGCGCCGCCCCGTCCTTCCACGCTAGTCAACCACCAGGGCGCCTCTGGTCTCCTCAGCATCCGCTGACACCCCAATTTCGAGCACCTCTCTTCCCCTTCGGACGTAACGCGGGCCCTTCAGCCTTTCTTCTCCGCCGTCCCGACCCCGGCACACGGTCCTGGGAGCGCCCTGCGCGGCCGTCTCGGGCCCCGCAGCCTGCGGCCCCCTCGGACGCCCCTTCTCCCGCGCCGCTGCCCCCTACCCCTCGGGCTGTCCCTGCCCCTCAGGCCGTCCTCACAGGCCGCTTCTCAGCGCCCGGCCGCCTTCCGTACCTGCCTTCTCCGCGCCGCCGTCCCAGCGGCTGGAGGTGGGGCCATCTCCCTGCAAATTCCGCAGGGCCATGTCCCGGGGGCCCGGGCTCGGGCCCGAGCCCCGGCTGGTGGCAGAGCCGAAAGAAGACGCGGCTGCGGCCTCGGGACCCAGCGCCGGCTCCGCCGGGGAGGATCGGCTCGGTCAGCCCGCGGCGCACAGGCGCGTAGGCGTCCCCACTCGGGCTCCGCCCCCGCGCTGGTACGTGACCGTCCTCTACGCAGGGCGAGCGACAGTCGCCGGGGTACGCGCGCAGGCGCCCTAGGCGGCGAGAGGAAAGAGCGTCCGGAGCCCACCAGGGAGCGGTCTCGGACAGGTGTGTTGAGACCACATTTTTTCTTTTCTTTTCTTTTTATCTGTGAAACGACACTGATGAAACTGATGAAGGGACTCAACTCACAGGATTATTGGAGTGAATGCTTATAATACTGCAAAGCATATGTAACTACTCTCCAATTATGAGTTGTTTTTGCTTACCAAGTATTTTAACTTCTGGCTCACCTCCCGACACGTACTCGTCATCATACTTGACGACTTAAAGGTTTAGCACAACCACCACATAAGGCTGCGCAGGTTGTACATTGCAGAAAGCCAGGAGGAACATTTCACATAGACGATTATGTGAGCAGCGCCCCTTTTCAGTTACACAAAAAAATGGCCACTCATTCAAAACGAACTTTTGTCTATCGGGTCTTTGACCTCTTCTCCAATGACAGTCCTTTCTGTCCAATAGGCCACACATTCCCTCTGTCACATCTCTGCTGTTGTGGCCGGAAACTGCCCCCACCTTCCTATTCTCTAAAGCTTGTTGCCCCCTACTCTGAAGTTTACATGATTCTGGTTTGTGGAATTCTTAATTCTCCCAAGACTTACCCTCCATGGAACTCATTACTATTGGCCCCTCTTGGTTTCATGCTCATTCTTTCAACCCAGGTTCCATGGTCCACCATTACATTGTAAATCCTTTTTCAAAAGCTCCTCTGAGTAGCTTTCATGAGCGAAAAGATGACTTAGTTTGATTACTAAAACTAATATTCATTATGCTAAAATTAGAAATCCCCAAACCTAGCTCTTCCTTAATCGCAACTGACAAATCTTACAATTCCATTCATAATCTAGTTAATAAACGGTTAATTAAATTTCTTTGAACATCTGAAACTGCATTTATAAATTTAATAATTCACTTTCCTTTTCTAAGTACAATTTTTAACAAAGCCTTTTGAGTCTTTACATAATTCTTGTATGAAATAAACTTACAAATACATGCATCATGAGTTCTTTTAAATGTGTCAATACAAATTTAGTAAGATTTCAACTTGAAATCACAGGTCTAAATCCATTATTCAAATACACATTTTTAATTAGTACAAGAATATTAGAATTCTCAAAATTGTAAGAATTTAAAGTATCAATTTACATAGCTCCCTTAATGCAAAGTAATAGCACTAGGAGTTTAAATCTTTTCTAGTCTATATTCTAAATTGTAGTTGAAGTTAAAAGATGCTTGCTCTCCTCAAGAAAGAATTAAGCCATCTGGACTTGGGAGTAACATGCTCAATGTGGGGTATTTATTCCCTGACTTTCAGTTACTGTGTCAGACTGTGAGCCAGCTGGATTCTTGTCTGTGGTAGTGATGGGACAGTGACCCACTTCCCCTCCCCACAATCACAACCCTAGGACTAAGTGTAAGGCGTAGGCAAATTCTCATCCTCTGTAAAACAAGGAAGTGGCTGGCTTTCAGGGAAAAAGGACACAGTCAAGCTACTGACAAGTGGTCAGTAAGATGAACAAGGTATCCCACGGAAACAACCAGTTCCTGTTTCCAGGCTGGTACTCCCATCTTCTGGCTAGCACATTATCTAATTGCAGTTCATCACTGTGGAGCTCTAAATGATGTGACCAGGAATGCAGTTATTTTGCCCTATAATTCCCCTTGCTCCCTCTTTTAAAGGAGCTCCAAGTGGTGGAGAAGAATTTTGAAAGTGTTCCTGGGCCAACAGAAACCAGCCTGATTCAAGCATTGTCATGGTCACCCCACTGCCCTGTGGCCTGGACTTTTAGCCTGCAGGTGAACCAGACCCAGCCACAAGACTCAGGACACTAGGAAGCATGAGTATCTTGGAAGACTATAAATCACAAACATAGAGATTATTTAACTCGTTTGTTTGCTCAACAACTATTTGTGGTCCTTAACCAGACCAGGCCTATGCTGAAATCCAACATAACGAAGCTTTATTCTCTGCTCTCCAGGACAGCTCAGGTTGGTAGGTGAGATGGCCTTTTCAACTTACAAGAAGTGACAAGTTCTAGGAGATGGGGAGGAAGCTTAAGAGTGTTGTAGAAGCCTAAAGAGGGACACCAACCACATAGGAGGAGGACAAGGTGTTGGAGGAAACTCTCTTGAGGTAGTGATTTCTACGCTTATAGAGAGTGATGGGTAGCAGAGTGTCAGTTGATGTATGGAAGAGCATTTTAGACTGAGAAAATAGCACAAGCATTGTTGTGAAGCTAAGAATACAAATCACAGTCTAGAAAGAGTAAGTGGTTGAGTATTCTTACAGCACAGTATCAAGGAGAAAGTGGAATTTGACACCAGTGAGGGCAGAAAAGTATACGACAGGTCATGCAGGACCTCTTAAACCATACTCAAGTCTGGACCAGATGGAGCTAGCATGGTGGAATTAAAGAATTTTAGCACTGAATGTGGTCATTGATGTCATCTAGATTAATCCTCATCCCCAATATAAGAATCACCTCCAGTTACCCATACATATTTATGGACCCTGTGCTAGGCTGTGAGCTGGGATATAGTGACAAATGTTTAGTCGCTCAGCTTCTGATGGGGAAGAGAGACAAGTAACCAGGCAATGGTAAAGCCAAATGAAGATGGGTCACCCTGGGGACTATCTAAAAGGTTGAGAGAACATGTAAAATCCCAGAACCATAGAGATTGATGACTGAGTGTAGGGTACAAGGAAATCAGGTCTTTGTGGTAGGCAGAATTAAAAGATTGTACCCAAGATTCCCACTCCATGCTGTACATGCCTATGTAATTCCTTTCCCTTGAGTGTGGACAGGACCTGTGAATATGATGGGATTTCACTCTTGCAATTAGGTGATATGTGGCAAAGATGAAGGGATTCTGCACATGTAATGAAGGTCCCAAATCAGTTGACTTTTGAGGTAGTCAATAGGAATATTGGCCTGGGTTAACCTACTCAGGCAAATCCTTTAAAAGAAGGTGCCGACCTTCCCTGAAGGAGAAATTCAAAGCAGCAGAGATATTCTCCTGTTGGCCTTTAAGAAAACTTCTATGTCGTGGAGAGGGCCACATGGCAGGGGATGACAGGCAGCCTTTGGGGTGGAAGGCTTCAGTCCTACTCCTCAAGGAACTGAATTCAGCTAACAGTAAGCTTGAAAAGGCTCCTGAGCCTCAGCTGAGGTCAAAGAGTTGGCCGATAGCTTGATTTTACCCTGAGTAGGGGACCCAGCTAACCTACACTTGGGAGCCTGGACCTCAGAAACTGAGATAATAAATATGTAGTATTTTCATATAGAGCAAATGACTGAAAACCTCACCAAAAATAAAATTGCTCAGGCTTGGACTGGCTCAGGTAACTGAAGGTTCTTGCCTGTCTGCACCCCCTCTCAGCCCACCTTTTCATGTTGACTCTACTTTCCCACAGGCCTTGGGGCAAAAACATGACCAGCAGCCCCAAGTCTTACATTTTATCTGACCCTGTGGCATACAGCTGCATTTCCAAGAAAATTCTTGACATTTCTCACTGGCTGTCATCTGCCTAGGTCTGAACCAGTCACTGTGGCCACTAATTGCTGACTGACTAGACCAGAGAGTCATACTCCACCTTGAACCGGGGGTGGAGCCCTGTCCAAAACCTTGGGGCTGAGTGGCAAAGAGGTAGAAGAGATTTTTAGTGACTGCACTGGGATTTATAATACACATCTTTAATTAATCAGTTTTCCTTTAAGTAACACCCTGCTTCTTGTATAGTATATAGACATCAAGCAGTAGATTCCAATTTCCTCCCTTGTTCTTCATGCTGTTGTCATATACTAGACTTTCTACTTAAATCTTCCCTTCTCTTCCCCCTCTTCTCCATCACCCCTGCCCCCATCCTACACTTGCAGACCACTTATTACATTCTGTCACTACAGATTGGTTTGTATTTTCTATCAAATGGATAGACTCATACAGTATGTAGTCTTTTCTCTGGCTTTCACTCAGCATCATTAAGGTTAATTCATGTTGCATGTATCAAGCTTACTCCTTTTTATTGCTCAGTATTTCATCATACGGATATACAATTCATTTATCCATTTTATTTTTACAAGTTATAAATACATACTCTCACTGCTAATATTTTTGCTTTAGACCAGGAATTAGCAAGGGATGGCTTATTCACAAGACAAAACCAGCCCACTGCCTTATTATGTACAATTCGTAAGTTCAGAATGGCTTTTACAACTTCAAATGACTGGAAAAACAAACCCCAAAGCAGAATAATTTGTGGCACATAAAAATTATATGAAATTAATCTCGAGTCCATTAAGTTTTATTGAAACACAGCCACATTAGTTTACCTATTGTCTAAGACCTTTCATGCTACAACAGAACAGAAATCAAGACCCACAAAACCTAAAATAAGTATCTGCTCCCTTACAAAGTTTGCTGACCTCCTTTAGACTTGTTACTTTTAAGACAAAACATTAAAAATTTTACTTCCATTTATTCAATTTCCATACTCTTAATTCCATCATGCAGATCCAGGTCTCTCTGGTATCATTCTGTCTACTGGACCAAACTTCCTTTAATATTTCTTGTAGAGTAGGTGCTCTGGCAATGCATTCCTTGTTTTTGTCTGAGAAAGGCTTTATTTCACCTTTCTGAAAGATATTTTCACTGGGTATAGGATTTGGGGTTGACAGGTTTTTTTTTTTCTTTCATCACTAAATCCATTCCTTTTGTCTTCTAGCTTGCATGGTCAGATTCTTAGTTTCCTCTGTATGTGTCATTTTCTCCTCTGGGCTGCTTTTTTGCCTTTTGTTCTAGCATTTTGAACACGCTATGCCTAATTGTGTGTGTATACATTTATTTTACTTCTTTAAGCTTCCTGGACCTGTGGCTTAGGTCCTTAATGTTATAAAATTCCCAACTTTTATTTCTTCAAATATTTTTCTTATACAATTTTATTTGGTCTGATGCTCTAGCAATCCATGAGAGCAGCATGCCCCAGGTAGCTACTGCAACTTCAGCATGGGACCCAGAAGGAACCATATGGAGCAAACGGAGTCCAATCAATACAGGGACATATCCAGCCCCGCCCAACCCATCCTTAATATGCTTGGCTGAACCTGGTTTAGATCTGTTGAACTATAGCTGACCTAGAGATCTGCATGAGGATGAATATTTTTGTTGTGAGGACTAGAGTGAGAAAAAGCAAGAGAAAGTTTTTATCTGTAATGACTGGTTAGAAACCTGGACAGTGATTCCTGGCAGTGCAGCTATGCAAATCTGTCCAGGAAGCAGAACTGAGCCAAGAGATGGGTGCTGACCCTGGGTGTGGGCTCTGCAGCTCAAACTTGCTAAGGCTGGGCCTCTCCCTAGCCAGGCCCAGCAGCCCCTCCTCTGAGAAAGTTTCCCTGAACACTCTCCCTTCCCCAAGAGTTCAGGACTTTCTTTCTGTGATGTTTATTTTAACCTCATCTCCCAGAGGCAACTACAACTAATGTATTTCTTTCCTCTTAAAAGCAGCCTTTTCAGTTTTCTACCCTGAAAGGCCCAGAGGCTCTCTCTCTGGGGGCATTCAAACTCTAGCCCCTAGCCTCTAAGGACCATCTGTACCTAAGCCTGTTGTAGTGGGTGCCACTGTTGACTTTAATATCCACTTCCTTCAGGATGAATTCTGCCTTCCTTTCTGCCATCTGGGAATTTCCATTTCTTTCTTTGAAATTGGCTACTTATTTGAAAGTAAATTGTTATTTCAGTTAGCATCCTCATGTATTTGGAGTAGGAGGTGGGTACCTTACTTGAGTTGGCTCAGTCTACCAGGCTGATTAGTGATCTCATTTTTTTCTGGGTAACTCCCCACCACCACCAATGCAGTTGAAATTATCCGTTATTTCTGTTTTTCTATTTGACAATAACGTTTCCCCATGGGCTTGTGTCTCCTCTCTCAATCTTCAGTGTTTAGCAGAGTGCCAGGTTCATGGATACCAACTAGTGTTTAAAGGCCATCTTACATTAACAGATGAACTCTGGAAAGATCAGTCAAGGTAAGTGTGTAAAGAAACCTGGGCTGACGGGATGGAGCTGAGTGGGTGAGCAGGAACAGAATGATGTATATATATATATATATCAGGGTGAGGAGAGCTACTGAGTATTTAGGATTCTTCACAGGAAATTCACATGGAGTTCCCAGATCTGTTCAACACAAAGAAACAAGGTTCCCCCTTTCTACATAAACTGAAAAATGTTTGTCTATTGTTGAGACTGACTCAGAAGATGAGATCAGGAAACCACTTAGCAGCTGCTGATGTTTTCCTTTTTCTCATTAGAGCAAGAAAACTATCAAAGCAGGTGATGCAAGAATGAAGCTGACTCAGAAACACCCAATCCCCTCAAGAACATCTCCAAGAAATGGATTGGCCATCCCTTAAACTCCCATCTTGGGGTACCTGGGGAAGAGCTTCTTATAATGAGGCCACTAAGAGTCCCTGGTGATCATGGCTACAGGGAGGCAATTCCAAACTGTAATTTGCTATAGTGCAAAAGTATCTGGCTTTCACTGGAGAAATGACAAATTCAGAGGAGACAGGGCGATAGAATTTTAAAGGAAAGGATGAGATGGGGTGGGAACAGGGCAAGCTGGCCATCGTGCAAATCAGAAACCTGACTTGCACCTATTGAATATGTCATATATAATACGTGAATTTTTTTTCCTATAGAACAAGACACTTTACTGCCATCTACTGTAAAACTGTAGGAATACATACATAAACCTATGGCATTGGTATAGATGTAGCATCCCTTTTCTTCTATACATATTCTGCCCAGCTACACAATTCAAGAGTGTAAACATTTAGTCCAGCTCTACTTATGTCAGACACTGTGCTAGGCACTTTCCAAACATTTGCCATCTAACCTGAAACACCACCCATTTAAGAACTAGGTAATTACAACTCAATTTTACAAATGAAGAAATATTTGGGACCTCTGAGGCAGAAGAAGGGAAGATAAAATCAAGAAAGGGCAAAAGGGGCTTCATTTATATTGGTAATATAGTCTTAAGTGAAGATTCATGGGTGTGTTACAGCTTCTTTATAGCTTGATACATGATACATGTCTAAAATGCTTTTACAATAAGAATTTAAATCACTTCTGAAGATTCAGATGAGTTAAGTAACTCATCCAAAACCATACAGCCAGACAGAACTCTGCCTAGAACCAGGACATCTGCAACTCCTCTGGGTTGCTTCTCTGATGTGGTTAAATTTAGCACAGAATCATACTTCTGTGTTATGGTTATCTTGGGAAGTCCCTGTCTACATTAATATTGACTCCAGAACCAGGCTTTCTTCTGCAAGTCTATATGTATCTATTCAACTTGGAGAATATTCTGAATTTTATGTCATACACAAGGGTGGAAAACAGGAATTTTGAGCATCTAAGTCTACTAAATAGGTCAGGATCACTGCTTAACTTTTAGCCACAATTTCACGAACGGTTCATTAAACATGTTCTTGTCATGTTAATTCAGTCTGGTTTGTGGCTTTAATTACAACTGAAAATGCTCTTCTGATCTTGAGATGCTCTTTATGCAACAATACTTCCATTAATTTATTGTGTCGGGGAGATGGAAGTAGGAGAGGATTGGATTACTACTATTTATTGAGCATCTTTATGAGCCCAGTATGGGTGCTAAGCATTTCCCTTCCATTCAATCATCTTCAAAACTGATGGATATTGGCTCACTTTAAAAAAAAAAAAGGTGTTTATGAGAATGTACAGATTAGTAAGATATACAAGGTCACCAGTAAGTTTACATGCGGGTGGGGAAACAATAAATAAAAATAATACAATAAAAGCTCAGGTGTTCTAAAGAAAAAGGGCATAGGGATAATGGTAGCAGTCAGGGAAGCAGGGAGAGGTGATGTTAGGTAGGGTGGTGCAGTAGCTAGGATCAAGGTTTTTAGACCCAATTTTTGAAGAGGGAACCAGAGACTACCTTACTTCAACCTCAAAGTCTTTTGGTTAACTTTTTCCTTAAGCAGGAAAACACACTAGGAAGACAGCCTCTCTAGCATGCATGTTACCAGCAGATCAGTCACAATCCCTACAGCTGAGGCACAAGGGAGGAGAAAATTACCAGCAGGGAAGTAGGCAATGACTGATGATTAAACAGCTACTTCAAACCTGATTATAATCTAGGGAGAGAATCTGCTGGTGGGAATCTATAGGTAATGATGACAAAACTAGAATTTTTAAGAGATGCTCAGTCAGTCAGTTCTGATTATAACCACACTTGACAACAGGTAAAGCTAGATAAAATTAAAGACTGAGAGGAAATTAAAATCCCCAAATTTGTCAACCAATCTTCAATTTTCTCTACTGCCCTAGGACTAAAGTAATGAGACATATCCTGAGGATGTAATTTTACAAAATATATTTCTGTCTCTTAACAGGCTCTACAATTTAATCTTCCTGCTTCATGTACAAAATGAGGATGTCAGAAATTAAAGTTCATGTAAGCTAGGCATTTCAGATACAAGAAACTACACTACACAATGATTTCTTTTTTCTAAACCACACTTCTTAGCTCTCAATATAAATAACACGTGGATGCCATATAGTATGCAGTGAATATTTAAGAAAACCAGTAATTGGGATAACAGCATTTCCTGATTTCAAATTCCAAAACTTGTGGTTAAATAAGGAAGTATAAATGCCAATTCAAGTATATACTAGTGTAGAATTTACTTGTTTCACATTGGTAAGTAAACTGTTTCACCTTTTACCAGCACTTTTGATAGTTTCTACTTAAGCTGCCAAATATGTTGCCATAAGCTCAACAGCACACCTGCATTCCAGGCTCCAAGACTTTGCAAGTTGCCTCCAGGACAGAGGGTTAGCTCCACTGACCTTCCACAGGGCTTACTGCTATTCACTTAACACTGGTTTTTTCTGCTAATGAACAAGCTGTCTTCATAACCCATTTTATTTAAGCACGACTCACTTTCTAAAGTCAGTGTCAGAGCTGAAAAGGAACTCAGAAGACATCTCACTCAGTCTCCCCCCTGACCTAACACAAACAGAAATACCAAGGGGTTCACAGGAGAGACTGTACTGCGAATTACTTGCAAAGTCAGGACCAAGGACTAATGCTCCATACCAGAGGGCCAGGGGAATTAGGTTCATCAAGAGCGGAACAGATGCCAGGCACTTGACATTTACTCTCATTCAATCCCAAAGAAGTAGTGGTCCATTTTACAGATGATTAAACTGATAGAGAAGTTAAGTACCTTGCCAAGTAGCCAAGTGTGACAACGGCAGGAATGAAACCAGTCCTGTTTAGCAACATCATGCTCTCTTCATTCTATCTCGATGAGAAAACTCCTAGACTTCAGTGCTCCTCTATCAATCTTCATCTATCCCACTTCACATCTCCATCAATCCAGTATTAAACTCAAAGCATGTGAGAACTAAGCCATCTATTACATGGTGTCGGATGGAGAAAGTATATACTGTTCAAGCTGCAGGGACATTTCATTTGTTTAAATGTTTTTATTTAAAAAGAAATTAAAGACCTTCATGGCACAACTTCTTCCCAGCACAGTTATGTTTTAGTTATACCAATTACAATACAATTACAACCAATAAATCAAGGAGGGGGAACTTCTGACTTCAAACTAAAAAAAGGGGGGGGCCACTTCAAACAAAGTTAAAAAATACTTAAAAAACCTTTCAGAGTATTTGCCAGCACAGCTGTCTTACACTGGCATTCCATTTCCTGCCACCTAGTCAATGCAGACACAGGTAGTGCTGAGAAATAAAGTGTCCCAATACAAGGTATACAGATGAGGTAATTTACAACAACACAGAAGTTGTTACTCTGTAAACCCTTGCCCCCCACCCACCCACTAATTGGATCTTTTTTTCATGCTTCTGCAGTGACTCCTTAAGCTGCATTTAAAAATTTTCTAGTTATTTTAAAAGGCTCTTGGGTGGCATTTCAGAGTCCTCTGCATTCACCTTCAGTTTCTTGCAAGGTCTGAGGTGTGTTAGGAGGTCCAGCTGTCTATGGCTCCCCTACGCCAGCCTCAGCTACACCTAGATTTTCTGAGCTATAAGGGTGGCATATGAAGTCTTGATCTACAACCCTTCTCCCCACTTCAAAAGAAAAATTCATTAGTCGTAAGTCCTGTTCAAATCACAATCCAGTGCAAAGGTAATCACAAATTGCATCTCTGGCACATCCGGTGCTTTCAGCTTCCGTACAAACTCAACATGGTAACCCCCACAGCATTCTAGGGCATCAAAAGGTTAAGAAGAATAAATATCCACTGTAAGTGGCTATAAGGAAGAAAATCACTCTGCCACACAGAATGTTTTCCCTATGGTTGAGAAGCATTATAAAAGGAGGCCTTTGCTTCCTCTAAAGTTTACCATTATATTCACCAAAGCCACCATCTTGATAAAGTTACTAGACCCAAGATGGGTTATAAAGTTATGTAAGTTCATTAAATTCAACTCCTCAAACAATTATGTTTTAATCTATGATGCCCAGGTGAGAAAGGCTTGTGAATTTATAAAGGTAGGAGAATGGGGAACTAAGAGTTTAGGCCTTAAAAGTATGTTGGAAGAATTTTTCCTAGTCCCCACAAGCAGCTACTGTAATGAACTAACAGGAGAAAATACAGAGCTGATGGTTTTGCTATTGTGCTTAAAAAACTAGGCTTCCTCAGTGAAGCACCTGATAAACTTAGGTGGTTGGATTAGTGGAAAATCCACTTTACACACACACAAAACACACAAAAACTGGCGACTTTTTCCATCCCCAATCCCTGCACTGCTGAGACACAAAATGAGTTTTATGGCAAAGGATCCTTAATCCCCAGAGATGCTTTGGCTTGTGGTGCTTTTTTAAGGCCTCTCTGCCCTGCCCAGTACCATGGGTCGAATTGAGGGGTGTATAAAAATGGGGGCCTCGGGAAGCCTCCATGGTAAAGGGCTGCAGGCCCTCAGATGTGAACATGAGACACCCACCCAGCAAGACCTTTACACAGGGAACTTAAATCTAACCTTGATAAATAAAACCAAACGTTTATTTACACCAAAGAATTCCAACACTGGATCTTTCACATATGAAGGACAAAGTATCATATATATACACACAGCAAAGGGTGGCAGGGCTGTAACAAGAGAGTTTATAGTTCCCCCACAATTACAGGTCTACCATTTCTGTTTCATTGGAGGTAGTGGCTCTGCTCCTACCTCTCAGATATATTTCCAAGACTGAAGGGAAGGTCTTCTCACGAGATGGCATGTGAGGGACAAGGAAGGTAGGAGGAAAAGAAGGTAGAAAGCTTAAAATGAAACTCAGTGTGGCCACATCTCTCATGAGCTCTTCAAGAGTTGCCAGCATGAAGCCTATATAGACAATGTTCATTTCTTTTGTAAAAAGCAGTAAGTTATGCCCAGTAACTGAATTCAAAATGGCCAAGTCAAAGAAAATGGAAAAAGATTTTGCCATCCCCCTCCTACCAGCTATGGAACGTGTTAGGGAGATGAAAGGCAAGAGGACCAAGGTATAAACATTTTAAACTAAACTGAAACTAAAATTACAAGTGAGTTGGATTTAGGGTTAGGTCAGTTAAGACATGATTTATATGGAACAGAAGTTTTCAGGACCTGTATGCACTTTGGGTAGCATTTCAGCATCTCAATGTAACTAAGAGATATTCCCTTAGTTTCACCAGGATAACCCCACTGAAGCACTTTTGGAGTAAACTGATAAGTGACTAGCAGAACACTGCTCGTACAGGTTGGGTTCTCACTTCCTCCTTTCTTCCCACTACCCTCCAAGAAGCTACATTTTGTAATCTCTGGAGAAGAGCATGAGATACCCCCAAAGTGTGGGATGGTGGGGGAGCAATGGTGAGAAACTGGGAAGAAATCTCCACCCAAACGTAGCAGCCGGGATTGAGGCTGGTATATCTTTGTTCTACAGTGATGAGGAACTGAATTTGGAAGGGGAGAAAAAAATTTGTCTGTGAAATAGTCCACCTGCAGGTAATTTTTCAGGGAATCCCCTGAGTTATGAAAAGTTCGAGTTTAAAAAAAAAAGGAAAAAAAGGAAAAAAAAATCAGCCTATTATAATTTTTTTTTTATGACTGAACTACTATAAATCCACAAGCAACGGTTCAGACACGGTGCTTCTGAAGTATTTCAACCCTCCCCGGCGGGCGCAAGCTGCATCAAGGAGAGACTGGACTCCCCCACCTCTGCTCAGGCATCAGGAGACAGAAGGGCCATTACTGCTGAGCGCCAGCAGCAGCTGGAACAGGCATCCCAAGGGGGTTGGCAGCAGCAATCACTGGCGAGCCCGCGAGAGGTCCGAGGGGCGAAGGGGTTGGCACTGAAGAAATCCCTGAAAGCAAACAGCTGACAGTGAGCCAGACACCAATCACAGAATGTGTTACCAGTTTTTCATGGCACCTATTGAACAGTAACACAATACTCTTTTTATTGAAGTTCTCTTGTTAGCCAAGATGTTTATAAATTAAATCCCTACTAATTAAAATGACATATTCTAATGTATTTAGAAGATAGGTAAAGAAATCCAAGCTTAGAGAATTTAAGCAGTTTTTTCCAAGGTGCATGGCTGGTAAGTGGCAACCATGCTGGATTCTAACCTAGGCCTGTCTAGGGCAGCACTGTCTGAACAAACTTTCTGCTCTGTAATCTGTGCTAAAATATGGCCACTTCCCACATGGGGTTACTGAATATTTGAAATGTTGACTAGTACAACTAAGGAACTGGTTTTCAAATTTTATTCAATTTTAGTTAGTTTAAATAGCCACATGTCACCAATCACTACCATCCTAAATAGCAGAGGACTAGAGCGAAAGCTCACGTGCTCTTAGACCACACTGCCTAGTTAGCTGACAGCTTACCAAATTACTAAGTCATCTTCACTAGGGAAAGGAGTACTTCCCATCTCTAAGCTAAAAGAATGTTTTAGAATTTACTTCCTTTTGGTTTCTTCCGTCCATCTAGTGACCAGAATTATTATCTGTTAGACTGCCTTCAATTAGCCAGTTCATTAATTTTCCAAATTGTTCTATATGTATTTTTTTGAGCAGGTAATATATTCAGATACTTCAAAATATAAAAGGTTCAAAAGCATACACAGTGAAAACGCTTCCTTGCCTTGTCATTTGGGCACCCTAAGGCACCATTTTTTGGGGGATATCTTTACAGAAATATTTTACACACCTTCACAAACATATAATTATGTGCATATAATCATAAAAGAACATGATTATATATTCTTGCCCACCACTCTTGGCCTTGCACATGGTTCTTCATCTTGCTTTTTCATTTAATATTAAAAAACAGCTAAAATAAAAAATCCATGGAACTCATTCTTTTTTCTGGCTATATAGCATTCCACTGAATGCATGACATTTAGTTCATATAACCAGTTCCGTACTGAGAGCTATTTTCAATGTTTTACTATTATAAATAAGGCTACAATGAGTAACCTTGGATGTATATCATTTTGCATAGGCAAGATACCCAGAGGACATATTCTAGAAGGCAGCTGGTTCTTTAAAAAAGAATTGGGACAATAATTCTTTGAGGGTGAAGTAAATGCCTCTGCACTACATGTATACCTATGTGAGTGCTGTCTACATGTATAGCCATTAGGGGACAGGTCTATGGTTTCTTTTTCAAAATTATGTACTCTGTAATGTTTCTTTTGCAATATTGTGTAATAATGATGACTCAACAGTAATGAAAATAATTTCATATAAACCTTTGTAATTTAATAGGCACTTGAAAAAACTGGATAACCATTCTTTCACACATACATACCCATGTTCAAACATCACCTTTACCCACCCACACACTCCCCAATTACTTACACTTATTTCTGAGGACCATGAAATAACTATTACTCTAAACCATGAGATGAAAGGATTTCTTTTTACTCTTCATGGTTTGTTGGGACTTTCAAGTCCTTCTGTGAGAAATTTTTGGGATTCTGGTCTAGAACAGACTGTTGATACTCTACTTAAGCAGTGTCACTGTAGTACACCAGGCATCAAAAGCATTTTGAAACCTGGTGGGGACAGCCACACAGGATGGCGTATCAATAAAATAATCATTTAAGAGAAGGAAATCAGATCACAAAGAAGGAGCAAAACTAATAATGAATGACTTCTACATTTTTTAAGGTAATATACTAGGGAACTGACCTGACATCATGTTGGCGCTGCTGACAGGCGTACTGCCCCCCTGCATGCTGGACGAGCCCATTCGAGCCTGGTCCTTCACAACAGTGTCTAGGAAAGAAACACAAAGGTTAGGTTCACTTACGCTTGAGAAATTAAACCAATGGTCTGGGCCTTTAAAGCAGTCCTCATCACTCTTTGCATTTCATTTATACTCCACATTATTCCCAAAAGAACTTAACATGGCAACTGCCTTCACCAAGAATTAGGTAAGTCTATAATACAGAATTATCTTTCCTGTCAAACTGTGATAAAGGCTAACTCTTAAAACCAAATGGTAGGAAGATAAAGTTAATTACCCATAGTAGAGCTTATTTAAAATATAAACAATCATGTTAGGATTTAATGAGACAATATAATCTAACCTGGCAAGATAGTAACATGTCAAAGTAGACAGGTTTTATTGCAGTTCATAGGTCAGTTGGTCAAGCTTGGTGTCAAATAGGCCAAAGCTACAGGTCTGTGCCGATTAATGCTTGGCCACAGACTTGACTATCCATCTTAATCAGCCTGTCAGTCTGCTTTGGGTACAGAAGACTGGCAAGAGTGTAATCGGTACACTACAAAACGACCCCACCATTCCCCAAGGAACAGTCAATCCAATGTTGAAGTTTACATCACAGTGAGGATGGGGTGGGTTAGGTGGCATCTACCTAGCAGAGCACAGTTAGCTATACTCACAAACCAAGGTCAAGGTGTTCATACAATAAGATTTTCAAGTCTGCTGGCTTTCTCCACCAAATGATAACCAGAGAAGGATTGATATAGGGCTGGCTGTTCTAATCCAACCACTCCAACCACAGCACCGAGAAGTGTCACCCAAACAGTTAAGAAAATCAGTTTATTTACAAGTGATCATGTGTCAGGTACTCTGTTAAATAAGGATCCTAACAACTCTGCCAGATAGTTGCCATCACCATCTCCATTTGAAGAAACTTAGCTCAATATTTTGCATAAAGCTAAGGGAAGCTAGAATTCCAAGTCTGTTCTGTAGGACTCTGGGCCTAAAATTTTACCATCAGCATATATTCTCCCCTACCCAACACAGTCTGCTCTGTGGACTGGACCATTGGACTCACAGAAATAGGGGTGCTCCATGGCTTCTCTGGCAGTGAGCCGTGACTGGTGGTCATATCGCAGCAGCTTGTCCAGGAAATCCAAGGCCTCGGGGCTGACAAGGTGCTGATTTTCACTGTGGACAAACCTTTCCCATCGCTTACGGGAGTGTCTGCAGAGGCAAAATGGGGAATAAGAAATGGGCTGAGGAGCAGAGAAACTGAGTATCTCACTCCTACATTTTCCTTAGTGGTTAGGAACCCAGCAATAGCAAAGAGATCAAAACTCCAGGGAGTACAGTCGTGTACCACTCTGCTGCTAGGGAGACAACAAAGCTAATTGGACAGACTGGAAATAGCAGTGGTGTAGAAAAGAGAAATGTAGGTCCTTGTGATTTTACAGAACATATTCAGGCTACTTTACAGGAATGAATGCTCCTGTGCAGCAAGGAGGGGCAGGTGGCTCGGTTAGCCAGGCCTCTTTCCCATCCCCACACATACTCCTGGCATCTCTGCCCCTTGGCCAGCAAAAGCCTTTGCATCAACAAAGTCCACTTCCTCTAGTTAAGAGGTTAGTGGATTTTATTGTGTCTAGTCCATACTGTCAGAGTCCACTGTCTACATACCAGTCTTGAAGCATACTTTTTTGTTTTCTGTTTCTTCCTCTTAAAAACGGATTTTGTCTTTTGGAGAAGCTGAAATCAAGATATTTTTATTTCTGACTCAACTGTGACCCTTCTACTAAAATCTACACTGCATTCATTTCACAGGGATCTCCTGACTACAAGCTCCATATTCAGACTTCTGTAAATTAATCTGGAAAAATGGCCATTCAGCCCAATGCTTTTACACCAGGCCAACTGCCCACGCAGCACCCTGTATCACTGGACCACTAATACAAGTGCTGGCAAAGAGACTGTAACCATTCTGAGGGTCCAAAGTATCAGTTAACACTGTGCTTAAGGAAGAGGCACAGATTTTGTTTTAGGACTTACCTGCCCAAGATATCATTGAAACGTGGGTCTAATTCAATGTTGTATTTGTCAATATAGTCATATAGATCTTCTGTCCCCAGAACCTTGGCTATCCTCACCAACTAGGATTGAAGAAAAGACAAAAACCCACACCACAAGCATATTACATGAGTAAATCAACAATTAGCCATGACTGAACTAACAGAAAGGGGTCATCATGGTTACAGGTATGAATATTATCTCCAAACAATTTACTTAAAATTTTGTTCATGGCAGAAATGGATTTCCACATTAAATATTATGAATTATTACTCAATGTGAAGATGTGAGAAAGAAAGAAAGAAAAGCAAACCACCTTAAAATCTGGTTTCTTCTCCTTGAAATAATCTCCCTGGTCAAGTATCATTTCCCCTCCCAAACGAGCTGAAGATGTCATTTCTTTTGGGAAGCTCCCCTTGTACACTCACTCCCACAGCTGCTTTTTGTACCTGCCTTCGATTCTATTCTGACACTTATGACTATAATTTATTTTCTTGTATCTCTGGTTTCCTTATAGACAGACTATGAACTACTTGAGAAGAGTGACTATTCTGTCTTCCACCCCCTACCCCTGCCCTTTCCTCAATCCTGTATGGTGCCTGATACAGAGTTACTGATTTTAACTGAATTCATGTGGTATTCTTTGACTCATTAAAAATAGTCATTGTGCTCAAACAAGGCAACGGTACCTTCCACAAGGTCCTAGAATCATTCCGGGTTCTCTTGAATGAAATGGCCCCTTGATCTTCAAGGGGATGTGGAGCTAGTATAAAAAAATCATCTATATTTCTACCAACAAACATAATCCATATAGACAACAGGATCATAGTAATACCAATATAAGCCAACATGTTGGAGAAAACACTCAACTCTAACAAAAGCTCACATTTGGAGCTTCTAAAGTAATGTCCTAGTTCTTAAACCATTATTTTTTGAATTGCATGTATGTTTTATAAACATTTTCACAATAAAACAAGCAATGAAAATTAAAGAATTAAAGATTAGGGGAAAAACTGGTTTCAATAGGCTAAACTAGGAGCTCTCAAACACCAATCTGAAGTTCAGTGTCAGGTTGGCTGAATAAATCATAAATTAAAAATTATTCTAGAGCCCCACCCTCAGAGACACCAAATTAATAGGTCTCAGGTAGGGGCTACGAATCTATTTTAGCAAGATGCATTGTAGTTTCTAAGGGTAGGTAGACCTAGCCATCACTGGACTAAGACCAGGAAGTTTCCCAATGAGAACAACATATATTACCTGATCATAATTATCATGTCCATGGAAAAATGGCTCCTTCCGGAAGATCATACTTGCCAGCATGCAACCCAAGCTCCACATATCCAAACTATAATCGTACATCTGCATTAAAGCAGACAAAATGTTATTGTTACACATGAAATGACACAGTCTTGTCATTTCAAAATAAAAAAACTGCTCAAAATTATAAAAGGAAAATCACTTTGTTGACTCAAAATCCAAATACCGGTACCATCTTCATGTATTTTTGTCTTTTCTTCTATGTATCCTGCTGACCACCAGTTTTAAAACAACCTGTACAAACTACTTTGAATTAGTTTTTTCACTTATGTAAGAATATCCCAAATTGTTAGCCTATGGAAACCTTTTAATGTGCAGTATTAAGTTATTGCATATATGTTTCAAAATTTAATCTCTAATTTCCCTTATAATTGGATAGTATTTTGTTTCTTCACCATTATAAATAATGCTGCAAAGAATTATTTTTATAAATAAAATGTTTTTTTGAGCTCAGGGCTATAGCCTCAACAGCCCAGAAAAGGAATTTCTACGACATAGTCTCAACTTTTTAAGCTATCTGATGATAATACCTGGGAGGACTGGGCATAAAAGGTACACCCAAGGATTTTGTTTCTGTGAGGAGGAGGAGGAGGAGGGTTTTTTCTTGTTTTAGTAAGAGGAAGGTCTTAAGAATACCATTTAGGAAAATCACAACCCACACCACAAGCATATTACATGAGTAAATCAACAATTAGCCATGACTGAACTAACAGAAAGGGGTCATCATGGTTACAGGTATGAATATTATCTCCAAACAATTTACTTAAAATTTTGTTCATGGCAGAAATGGATTTCCACATTAAATATCATGAATTATTACTCAATGTGAAGATGTGAGAAAGAAAGAAAGAAAAGCAAACCACCTTAAAATCTGGTTTCTTCTCCTTGAAATAATCTCCCTGGTCAAGTATCATTTCCCCTCCCAAACGAGCTGAAGATGTCATTTCTTTTGGGAAGCTCCCCTTGTACACTCACTCCCACAGCTGCTTTTTGTACCTGCCTTCGATTCTATTCTGACACTTATGACTATAATTTATTTTCTTGTATCTCTGGTTTCCTTATAGACAGACTATGAACTACTTGAGAAGAGTGACTATTCTGTCTTCCACCCCCTACCCCTGCCCTTTCCTCAATCCTGTATGGTGCCTGATACAGAGTTACTGATTTTAACTGAATTCATGTGGTATTCTTTGACTCATTAAAAATAGTCATTGTGCTCAAACAAGGCAACGGTACCTTCCACAAGGTCCTAGAATCATTCCGGGTTCTCTTGAATGAAATGGCCCCTTGATCTTCAAGGGGATGTGGAGCTAGTATAAAAAAATCATCTATATTTCTACCAACAAACATAATCCATATAGACAACAGGATCATAGTAATACCAATATAAGCCAACATGTTGGAGAAAACACTCAACTCTAACAAAAGCTCACATTTGGAGCTTCTAAAGTAATGTCCTAGTTCTTAAACCATTATTTTTTGAATTGCATGTATGTTTTATAAACATTTTCACAATAAAACAAGCAATGAAAATTAAAGAATTAAAGATTAGGGGAAAAACTGGTTTCAATAGGCTAAACTAGGAGCTCTCAAACACCAATCTGAAGTTCAGTGTCAGGTTGGCTGAATAAATCATAAATTAAAAATTATTCTAGAGCCCCACCCTCAGAGACACCAAATTAATAGGTCTCAGGTAGGGGCTACGAATCTATTTTAGCAAGATGCATTGTAGTTTCTAAGGGTAGGTAGACCTAGCCATCACTGGACTAAGACCAGGAAGTTTCCCAATGAGAACAACATATATTACCTGATCATAATTATCATGTCCATGGAAAAATGGCTCCTTCCGGAAGATCATACTTGCCAGCATGCAACCCAAGCTCCACATATCCAAACTATAATCGTACATCTGCATTAAAGCAGACAAAATGTTATTGTTACACATGAAATGACACAGTCTTGTCATTTCAAAATAAAAAAACTGCTCAAAATTATAAAAGGAAAATCACTTTGTTGACTCAAAATCCAAATACCGGTACCATCTTCATGTATTTTTGTCTTTTCTTCTATGTATCCTGCTGACCACCAGTTTTAAAACAACCTGTACAAACTACTTTGAATTAGTTTTTTCACTTATGTAAGAATATCCCAAATTGTTAGCCTATGGAAACCTTTTAATGTGCAGTATTAAGTTATTGCATATATGTTTCAAAATTTAATCTCTAATTTCCCTTATAATTGGATAGTATTTTGTTTCTTCACCATTATAAATAATGCTGCAAAGAATTATTTTTATAAATAAAATGTTTTTTTGAGCTCAGGGCTATAGCCTCAACAGCCCAGAAAAGGAATTTCTACGACATAGTCTCAACTTTTTAAGCTATCTGATGATAATACCTGGGAGGACTGGGCATAAAAGGTACACCCAAGGATTTTGTTTCTGTGAGGAGGAGGAGGAGGAGGGTTTTTTCTTGTTTTAGTAAGAGGAAGGTCTTAAGAATACCATTTAGGAAAATCACAAGAGAACATTTTTGAGCTTACTCATAAGGTTGGTTAAATCTAGTTTATAATTCTCAAACTAGCTCTAGAATTTCTCATTAGAAAAAGGACGTTTGGTGTACTTTCTCTATAGTTAGGAACAAATCTATTCCTATTCTACTGACATTATGACAACAGAAAAAACCCAAGTTATGGTAGATGAACTGAAGTGATTCCTATTTTACACTCATGTAAAAGGGACAGCCATGGATATGCATAATTGGCCTTCTCAGAAGTGTGAAATGACATTTTTCACAAATTATGTGCAAAATAAACATAGGACCAAAATTTTATCTGCCCTTCTCTTTTTACCTGATAATCTACAAGTAGCTCAGGACCTTTGAAGTATCGGGAAGCAACTCGGACATTATATTCTTGGCCAGGATGGTAAAACTCAGCTAAACCCCAGTCTATTAGCCGTAGCTGAAAGAAAAAAAAGAAAGAATAAATCATAAGCAATGTTATCTTTCAAGCTATCCCCCCCACCACATTTTTAAGTAAAAAGCCTTTTGTTCTCTAACCATGCGCTTAGAGTGCTCAAACATCAGCCATGTCACTTTCTATTGAAGCCCCTTCAGTGACTACTACTGCATCAAGGGTGAAAGTAAAACTTTTTAGCTTGACATACAGGGTTCTCCATGACTTACCTAGTTCCTGTGCCTGAGTGAGACTGAGTTCCTGAAAGATACCATCCCTTTTTATGCTTTTGCAAATTTTTTAAATTGTTCATCTAACTAGAATGCCTTTCACTACCCAACCTAGACTCCTATTGGTGAACATGTCTTCATTTTTTAAGATATTTAAGTGAGTTGCTTCAATGAATTACCCAAGAATTAGAACCAACTATTGCTTTTAGTCTTCCTGAACCCCAGATATACCTCTGTAACAGAACCTACAAATCTTTATTATGTATTTATTTTCTAAGTTTCCTTTTTAACATGGGCTGTAAGCTCCTTGAGGTTAGGGAGTGTTTTACTCTCTTCTGTAATTTTAGAATTCAATATACTACCCAGTACACATGAGAAAAATAAAAATCATCTGCTGAGGAAATGAAGTAATAGACAGCCACACAAATAGCCCTTACAAAATGTATCCTCAAAGTGGAGAAAGTACAAGCAAAGGCAAGATGCAACCTTATCTGACCACTGTGCCAAGCACAAGCATGATCTGCATGCAGTGTGAGCAGGAAGGTCTATCTCTGACTACTTATGGATAGCAAGTCCACTGTTAGCTAGGTACAGTGTCTTGTTTTAGTAAACAAAGGTAAATACAATAAAATAAAAGAAAGTGTAACTTCTTTAATCTTTCTTTTTAACCCCTTAACATTACTGCTCCAGGGCTGTCTCTTACCTTCCTTTGTTATCAAGTATTCCCAGATGATCATTTTTGTTGTTGTGGTTTCACACTCAGCACCTCAGCCTTTCCCACCTATACTCTAGCCCGTGTTTCCTACTGGCCCTCTCTGGGTGATCACCTAAGAGGCATAGCAGAACTAAACCTCTGATTATTCCTGTCAACCCTTCTTCACCCACAGCCTCCCCTTTTCTCAGTTAAGGCTAATTCTATTCAGGCCTAAAAGTTTTCCCTGGACTCTCATTTCTCTTACATGCCACATCTTATCTGTCAAGAAATCCTGTTGGTTCTACCAAATACTATCATTTTCATTACCTCCACTGCCACTGCCCTGGACAAACCACCACCGGCTTATCTAAGTCACTGCAAGTGCCCCATCTTCTAACCAATCTCCTTCACTCTATTCTCTACAGTGCAACCAAGAGAACCCTTCTAATAAGCTTTTTATTTCAAAATCATTATAAATTCACAGCAAACAGGAGATGTTCTGTGTACCCTTCACCCAGTTTCCCCAGTGGGAACATCTTACATAACTACAATATAAAAAACGAGAAACTGATATTGGCACAATTCAGGAAAGATCTTATTTCTCACCAGTTTCACATGTGTTGAGCGTGCACGTGTGGTTCTACCCAATTTTATCTCAAGTGTAGAGCCATATAACTTCTGCCGCAGATGGCCACCTGCACGGACACTCCCTGTGTCATCCCCTCCCTTTACTTTCTAATCCCTGGCAAAGACCCCTCTTTTCTCTAACTCCGTAATTTTTCATTTTGAAGAATATTACATAAATGTAATCTTAGTATAACTTTCTGGGTTTTCACTCAGCATGAGACCCATCCAAGTTGTTGCATTATCAAATAATTCTTTCCCTTTTATTGCTGAACACTACTACTCAGTAATAATACATGGAACATATCACAATTCTTCCAAGTGGTAAAGATACCTCAAGACAAATGCTGGGCATAGAAGCCACAGGGCATAAATATGCAAAGAAGTAAAAAACTAACCTTTTCAAACAATAAGGCTTCTCTCTCACTTACCAACTTTACATTTCCCTGTATGGCCCCAGAAGATGACTGGTTAGCCAGAGATGGGTAAGATTCCTCAAGGGAGGAACAACCTAAGACAGGCACAGTCGCAGGGGGGCCATCAGGTGAGAATTTGGGGATCAACAGAGGTGAGGCTCAGAACCTCACCCCCCCTGCTTTGAGAGAAATCTTCTGCATCCGTGGATGTCTTGCTGCCCTTGTCTAGCCTGGATTAATACTTAGTCCATAGGCACACACCTGATCATCTGATCATCTACATTTGCCTTCTTACAGCACTAAACTATGTTTTCTACCTTTATCTTGCATCTACCTACCACTTCAGCATTTTATTAAAAATAA